GCGGGGAGTCGGGCCGAATCGCCAGGCCAGGTCTTGATGGTCCTCGGGGCGATCGGGGTCCTCAGCCCAGAGTGCGAATACCGAGTTGTTGGAGTGGCGCGCGTGTAGGGGGTGCACGGTGACTACTGTGGTGCGCCGTCGCAGTATTGCCGGGGTACCGTGGGGGTTAAACATACGCATAAACAATCGGCCCCCATCTGCGTTTACCAACGTGGCGGATCCCACGACCCCGTATCATTTTGCCAACTCCGGGTGAGGAGTTAGCATTACCTCACCCGATAGTCGGAGCGCGAGGTCGATGGAGAGTGTTGCCACCGGCACCAGCATCTCGGCGAGCGGCCCGATGGTGACTGCCGTCGCCAGGGTAGTGGCCACAGGTGCGAAGCGGGAGCGCGTCTGCTCTTGTCCCAGGAACGGAATCCGCTCGCCGCTACCTTCCATGGTGGCGCATCGCTGGCAGGGCTGCACGTTGAGCCCCAGCTTTTCCAGGAGGTCGCTACCTGCAATACACTCGTGGCACAACACACTCGAGACATAAAACTCCTGGGTGCACACCTGGTGGCCTATGCGGACCTCCAGGGCGGCCCTCCCCAGTAGCCCCATTCCGGCTCCACTCGCCGTGTGCAGTGCGCGGTCCGGGGCCTGCAGGTGGCGCACGTCGACCCCGATCGCGCTGCAGTGCGCTGTGCTCACGAGCGAGGCCACCGCCCCTGTGTCCAGCAGGATCCGGGTACGCATTCCATTTACCTTCCCTTCCACCAGCGACATGACCCCCGTGATCCATTGTTGTATCTATGCCCCTTTTTCCAAAAATGTATATTAATAATAATTAGGGCAAAAAAAATATATATTTTTTAAATTAAATAATGAAAACAACCCGCTAACCCTCATATGCCACACCAGGCATAAAAAAAACGTGGAAGGCCATTAAACGGCAAGACTTCGGAGCACAGAGAGGTCAGAGACTATCTAGAGATATCCAGATGGACAAAAGGTCGATGGCCTAACCTTCCCAAGACGTCTGGAGATGCACGGATAACGTGCAGAGCAGAGAAAAACAACTGTTGCAACTCGCGTTTTCTTTAACGTTTTCCTTAACGAATGGTATAAGACTGCAGCCTACAATAGGGGTTTTTTTTATTAGTAATTCCCTTATTTTACTCGTACTCACCGCATATATATTATTTTGTATTGTATGTTTCTATTTACATGACCTTACCAAAAACTAAAGAATACGAATTCCAGCAGTCAAGAAAGCTTAAGTGGAAACTTAGTTACACTTAACCTCAGGACATTAAAATATAACTCGAGTAAAACAGTGCAATCCCTGTATACAGATAGACAACAAACGTCAGGACCTCCCCGCCACCTTTGTCTTCCAACGGTTTGGCACAAACACACGCGTGCCATGAAATACGTATGGCGGGGTCTGGCCTCGGGATGACCCACGCAGGGGGAGCAAGGGAGTTAGAGAGTCGCGAAAAGGGTTTATGACCTGACATTCAGGGGTGTCTGTTTTTTTTGGTTTGTTTTTCTCTCGCAAGAGATGCGCAAGGAGGGGGTCAAAGGGTCACGAAGAGGGGGTCTGTGCTCCTAGCGTCTGTTTTTTTCACGTTTTTGGGTTTTAAAGCACAACGCACATCACGCAGGGCAGTCTGGTTCGAGTCGTGCTCAGTCTTGCTCTCGGCTTGTATCGCGGCGTTGCGAGGGAGGCTCGCAAGGTAGCTGGGGCGCATCGTGCCTCGGGGAGAGATGGGAGGAGGAGGGGTCGTTAGAGTCGCAGAAGTCTGAGTTCAGCCTGGGTCGAGGCTGGGTTTCAGCCGTGCCCCGGCTGGCGGTGCCGTCGTGAGGGAGCAAACACCGATACCGATGGCCGGTGTCGCTTCTCGCAGAACGAAGTGGCGAGGTGTGGTTAAGTGCGAGTGAAGCTCACGAAATTACAGCTATCATTCTCGTGAGAGGACCTGAACAAGCGAAGCCCTGAAGTGAGGGCGGGAGAGGCATCAGCGAGTGCCCGTACAAAGCTCTCAGCTGCAAGCCAACGGTAAAACCAAGAAGAGAGAACGGAATCTCGCTCATCACCACCAACGGAGGAGCGCCACCATGATCTCAGCATCTCAACACCATCACCACCAACACAGAAGACTCAAGAAAATCAGCAAGTATGACGGGGCTCGTTGAATGGCGAGCCGTCGAGGTGCGAGTGAAACTGACGGAGATTTCAGTTATCATTCTCGAGCAATAGCGAAGACACCCAACGTCAACTCAACATCAACCTAACGTCAACCCAGCAACAAACGAGAGCATCGTTCATCACCAGAGCGCTCCAAGCCGGTGAGCGCGCACAGCCGCGTCGTCCAGAGCCTGAGCCAACGCAGCCCTGAAGTAAGGGCGGGTGTCCGTGTGAAGCTGGCAGCGATCAAGGAGAGAGCACGGAGAAGATGAGAGAGAGAGAGAACGGAGCAGTGGAAAGAGCCTGACAGGCCGCCAGTGATGAAGAGGAGAGCGCCATCGAATGCGCCGTGTGTTTAATACACACACACTTCGACCAGCTCTTGCTGAGAACAGACTCGTCATCCAGCAGCGAAGGAACTGTGCGCTATCCGACACCGGATAGTCGCGCACCACGACGGCGAGCGTCGTGCCGACGCCACTCATCTAGCAGTGGAGAGAGTGAGCAAAAGAGCAGAGACACGCCCGAACAGGAGAGCAGGGCGGGAATCTGCTGTTGGTGGTATACCACCTCCCCCACCCCCCGCAAGCTAACGACACAACTCCCGGCTCTAAAAAAAAAATTTCAAATTAATTTTACAAGGAGACAACACACACACAACACGCACATGAACAAGACTTTCAAAAGGTTATCTTTGTGTTTCGAAAAGGGTTGCAATTTCAAGTTGGTACGTTCAATATCAACTGATCATGCAAAGCAGTTGCTGCCGTCGAGTTACATGAATAAGAAATGTTCTAGTCATTTATTTTCGTTAATTGCATAATCTTGCCGATGAATATATTGACGTATACGTTTGCCTTTGCATATTAGAGTCTTAACAAAAGCGTTTGAGTGTTTCTTTCCAAGTCCATGCAAAACTCTTATTTATAAGAACTGTATCCTGCGTTGAGATATGAATTTGGAGACCTAACATAATATAAACACACTAAGATAATCAATAAATGTTTAATCAAAGATAATCGTTTTATCCTGATTGATACAACTCCGGATAATGATGCTAAGCCTAATTATCATAATTGCATACATTAACATAATTGCAAGCATTCGCATAAAATAATACGATTATTCCTGTGATTATCATAATTTACATATTTATATTCATTAGCATAATTTATGCGATTTATGCTTTTTTTTAATTATATAACATTTTATTATTTTTATCCAAATTTAATAACCCGACATATACAACACCCTGCCACCAGCTCCCGTAGCCAGTCGCCAGGAGTCACCGCTTCCGCGGGCGTTGTTGCTGGAACATGTGTGGAGATCACTCGCTCGCCATTATTCCCATTGCCGTCGATATGTGTCGGGACGGCGTCGATTGCACCCCGAGGTGGTCCATTCTCTAGGGGGCGTTGGCGTTTAACCTCATGCATCTGCCTAGCACGGGCAAGCTAAGGGCAGTCTCTCATGAGATACCCTCGACTGTCGCACACATAACACGTCCGGGGAAGGGTGGCGGCTCCGTAGTGGGTCCCCTGCCCGCTCCCTCTCCCTCTCCCAGTACGCAGTTGTCTCAAATCGGACTCTAATTGGGACACCCTCCCGGCCAGCCCCCCTACTGTGGAGCATAGCTCACCCATCTCACACTGGATGGTCTTCATATTTCTATTCGCTTCCTCGCGTACGTGGGCCACCTGGCCGGTGATATCTCCTGTTCTGGTCTGTATCCCGGCTACCCACCCCGGGGTTGTCTCGCGGGGTCTCGGGGTTTCCCTTGCTCGTCCCTTTGTTGGGATGGCGAGCTCCTCCTCCTCTTCCTCGTCTGAGAGTAGGCTCGCCACGGCGCACTCCCGTCCCCGTCCTCGAAGCTGCGTGCGCTCACCGGAGAGCTTCTCGCATTTACGCGCGCACTTGACAAGGGTGTTGAAGGGGAGGCGTGCACCGTCTACATTTGGCCGCCACCACGGGGTGCGTGCCAAATATCGCTGGCCCTTCCCGGCGGCGAGGCCCTCAATTAATTTTGCCTCGTACTCCGGGTACGCGATCTGGGTCAGCGCGCGTACGTCCTCGGCGTAATCTCGCAAATCCTCGCCGTTGTTGTGCGGACCGCCGCTCACGGGGCAGGGACTGTCGCAATGCCCCCATCTCTACCCCCCTCTCCCCTATCTCTGCCCCCCCTCTCTCTCCCCGTCTCTGCCCCCCTTCCTCCCCCCCCCCATTGTCTGCTCCTACATTAGCGCTGGCTGACTGGCTGCCCCGGCCATGCTGTTTGCACTGCACAAGCTCACCTCCTCCCAACTCCCCCATTGTTTTGCTCCTGCATTAGCGTGTTGCTTACGCAGTTCGCTTGCGCAGCTCTCGTCTCCCGCCCACTCACTTTAGAATCCTTATAAGCAGTTACATTTGGAGGCTTGCCCCCTCTTTTCTCTCCATCTGATGAAGACCGCTTGTGTTGTGATCGAAACGTCATGAGGTTTTTGCTTTTACTTTCAATTTATTTTAATTGTTTTTTTCTATCTACGTGACTTCACCGAAAGAATCTAGAATATGAATTCCTGTAGTCACGAAAGTTTTAAGTCAAAATAGGATCCACTGCAGCTGGCCACATAGAATAGCCAAATACTCACTGCAGAGGAGAGGCTGCCATTCCTCAGTTGGGAGCTGGGCCGGTACAGACCAGACCTCTATGGAATACGTCTGGTGGACTGGTTGTCTCCACTCACCATGAGGGATAGACAGTCCTCCACTCAGGGCAGGAAACAGTCAACCAGGAGTAGCTCTTCTTATAAATTTAAGAATGAAGGGGTCGTGGGAACATGCGAGATATGAGAAGCTGCGAGTCCCAGGTTTATGGTAGGCTCGCCCGTGACAGACACATACAGTACAGAGATGCAAACGATACAGGCACAGAACAGACATAATGACGTCGACACGAAGACAGAAACAAAGAGGCATAGAGACAGTAACACTTCTCTTTTCTGTAAGTGGGCTTGGGCCAGGGAATGGAAAGCATCCCAGGAAAAGTCCACCAGGAAGTTCAAGCAATGAAATCAGCGCATGTGTGTACACAGGCTGTCGAGGCAAGTATGGTCAGCAAGCATCTATGAAGGCCATGTTTACACACCATGCATCAGGCACTCATCTAAGGCTGAGTGGATCTAGGGGAGGTCCAATCTAAATTTTAAGTGGAATACCGTTCATCAATAACTTACCAAAATTTGCAAATATATGCCATTTTTATAGAATGTAAAATGAATACCAATATTTACATGTATATTTTCGTTAAATTAAAATGCATATTTAGCATAAATAGATTTGGGTTGTTTTTCTAGAACATAATCGGACGGGTATGTAAGGGATCTTACTTTTTAATGTACAATTTATACAGGACTGCCTCAAAAGTACATCGCACATTAGCTTGGTGTTTGGCATCGCTTTATTCCACGCAAAATTACAAAAGTTTAATCTTTGAAAACATGTTTAATTAGGCGATTTAGTTGCACGATTAAAAAATGCTCAGATGGAGCCTCGGGCTCACTCGATGGGATCGTGTCAGGAACGAAGACGTTCGGAAGCGACTTGGTGTGGCCCCCATTGCGGACAAGATGCTTGAGGCAAGGCTTTGGTGGTACGGCCATGTGATGCGAAATGAAGAGTCATCAGTGGCCAAGACTGCTGTGCGTATTGAGTCAGAGGGCCGCCGTCCACGCGGACGTCCGAAGAAGCGATGGATGGACCGAATAAAGGAAGACATGAAGACGGTTAACGCATCCCCTGAAGATGCCCTGGACCGAGCCAAATGGAGAAGACAATGCCGAAAAGCGGACCCTGCGCCACAGCGGGAACAACGCTAGGAAGAAGAAGAGTTGCACGATTAAAAAACAATAATCGATTATGTTTACTGCCATTGCATCAACCCTGCAATATTTTATAAACATTTCAGCTACAAGAGAGCAGACTATACACCGTCTTCACAAATCCACCCCTCCGCATGCAAAATAAAAGTACGCTTTTATGCATATGCATTATGCCCTTCCAGCAGGCCGCGTCGCTGATGGGATGTGTAAAATGTTGCTTTCCAAGGCAGTGGCGCATTTGACGTTGTCGTGCGGCGACGGCAGGGTGTGTCTCATGTAGTCGTGGCACCCGCCGCCGTGTCGTGGTGCACGCCGCTACATCGTGGTGCACGCTGCCATGTCGTGGTGCACGCCGCTACATCGTGGTGCACGCTGTCAAGCCATAGCGGGCACCGCCTCATCGTGGCGCGTGCTGCTACGTCGCCGCGCTCTTGTGTTCGTCTTCGTACGCGATGGCGACACCCCGGCGCCCCTGCTGTACACGCGACACGCGCGTCTGACCAAGACGCGGGTCCAGGCCCTGCCAGTCACGGGCAGCCAGGTAACCAGCTGCGGACCGCACACACGGTCAGTCAATGCACCTTCATTACTGAAGAAATAATCAGACACAGCAGCAGCAGTAGTGGTGGGTGGGGACAAGAGGTAGCGGTGGAGTAGCTATCACGACGAACAAAATCCCTCCTGGAGCAGCAAGATAAAAGATTTCCCATACAGTCATACCTCGGTATACGACCGCTTTGGAATATGTCGAAGTTGGTATACGTCGTATTTTGACGAGAAAAAAACTTTCTTGGGATACGTCTTGCTTGGGATACGACGCGCTTGCTAGAACTTGTGTGGGTGGGGATGAGTCACCGTGTACAGTACCCGCGTACACAATACTGTTACGGTTCTAACAAGCTCTAACAAGCCGTAACAGTATTGTGTAGAATGACCAGACAATGTCACACTTCACGAACATTCTTATATAAAAGGCAAAAACAAACTTCAATGGACAGGTTTTTACTAAACCTCAAACCTGGTGAGCCTCAACCAGGTCCAAGTCAAGAAAAAAGACAGACAAGAGAAAGAGAAAAACCCCCAGAATTTCAGCTTCCTAAAGTTTTAATGGAAGGGGACTCTCCTTCCAAAAAACAACATCTCCTCCTCCCCTTCCTCACCACCATCCTCATAGGCTATCAACTCCTCTCAGTAAGGTAAAGTGATGTTAAATTTAATTTTTATTTCAATTTATTTTAATTTATTTATGCATTTATTTACATTTATGTATGCATTTTAGTGATAAGTAGTGTCTAAATTATTTTATACAACCCCATTAATGTACAATATGCCATATAAAATATAATTTCTTATACTCTGGAATGGATTATTTCCTTTCCCTTTATTTCTTATGGGAAAAATCTTTGGTATACGTCATTTTCGGTATAAGTCCTACCTTCTGGAACGAATTAACGACGTATACCGAGGTACCACTGTATCTGCATTTTGCATTTGTGCAGAATTGTACCTGCCGATTGGCTGGGCGCCACTTGCAGGTTGTGACCTCGGACGAGCAGGGCATCGGTGGGTCCCATGTCCGTGGGGTTCTCTACCCCCCGCGATTGACACCTTATTGCTCCAGTGATTAGAGACACGTCTCCCTCCGTTCCCTCCTCCTCCTCTTGCGATTCTGGCAGTGGCACGTGATGTGGGTAACCTGCAAGCAGAAGTTATTTGTAGTAAGATGTCTGTGACGTTCAAACCCACATACTGTTTTTTATCTAGGCGTCGCTTTGTCAAGAAATTACATGACTGTATTAATTATAATTAAGTCATATTCCTTTGCATAGTCAACAAAAGATAGGCATAATTGTAGTGTGATTGTTTTCTAATTTGTATAATATCGTTTTTCGTCAAATTAGGACCCATGTCTAACAAGAAAGGTTCCTTGCATATCAACATCTGGCAGTTCACCAGCATTGCTTGAGACACTAAATTTCAGAACTGGTCAAGAGGTTGCTTGTATCAAACCAATATCTCCTGAAATTATGCACTTCCTGAAAGCCACGTGGCCAATGAGATGGGCAAAAAAACCCTTGCATTGTTACGTGGAGATATGACAAGAAAGCATATTGCATGCTTATTTATTTTGTAATTCTTCAGGTCAGTTGATGTAGTTGTTCACGCTGTCAAAAAAACCAGGCCAAAATCACAAATATGTAGAAATATATTCCAATTACAAGACTGGAACAAAAGTGAATGTCTGACTCCACATCTGGCAAAACACAAAACGACTACACCACATCTAAAACGCATCACGTGTCTTCACAACTACCGGCCTATGGGTCTAAAATGGCATCAAACCTGGGAGCAGCTCCCTGAAGTCTGAGACGAAGCTTCCAGTCCACGGGCGCTGCCGGTTGCAGGCCACCTCCATTTCAAAGGGTGTCACTATCGGCTGGTAAAACTCCGCGCCGTCCAGCAACGAGTTCTCGGGGCACGCGACCAGAACGAACACGTCTATCTCTGGAAAGTTGGCGAGCTTGGCGGGGTTGGGCTTGCCCACGACGAACACCTGCCAGCGCTTACCAGCGCGTGCCAACGCACGCTTAAGCTGCTCGATGATTTCCAAAAATCCAACGACGCCCAGGGTGCCCACCAAAATCCCGACGAAGCCGGCGTCTCTTGCCCGCTCCACCAGGTAGTACCTCCGCTTCACCAGGCGGCTTGTGCTGGCCGAAGCCCTCTGGCTTTCTCCGCTCTCTGGGTCGTACGTAAAAAACTCACAATTGCTCCAGCTCATCATAAAATTAGTCAGGGTGATGCTCTCCCTGCCAATGTAGAAAACGCTGTAATCCACCAGCCGAGAGCCAGCTTCCACCAGCAGCAGGCGGCCAAATGCACGCTCGGTGCCGTCCGTGCGACACGGGTCCTCAGCCGGCGGCACGTCTTCTGGGGTTTGATCCGCAGGTTGAGACTCAACTCGAGCGAACCGCACATGAGGGTACTCTGGACCAAGGATGTTCTCCAGATCATCTGTATGAACACACGTTCACTATTAATATGGCACACGGATCATTTTGCAAACATGGTCAGTTTTGGAGTTTAAACAGCAATTGCATTGATATTCAATATTTAAGGCTGTCGTGGTTTAACGGTTGGCACACTAGACTTAGAATCGAGAGATTGCTGGTTCTATTCCTTATCCAGCGCAACAATTTAAACAATGCGGCAAGTTTATTAAACCCTCTGACATCTGTGCACCCAGCAGTATAATTCAGTTCTACAGTGGGTGCCATGGGAGAAAGTGTGGGTATGCCTACCTCTTCCAACACGTCTGGTCAGCGTGGAAGAGTAGGCCAAATACTCTTTAGCGTTCACTCAAGTGGATATCCTTCTGCCAGCATTGGTGTTATCAAGTAATTTCAGGGCTGCGTCTTTACCTATTTAATCCACTGTTTATAAAAACATATACGTCAACAATAGGACAGATGAGAACGTAAAATACAATTGCATAAAAATACCACTCCTTAGCAGAATTAAGTTAAGACATTTGGGCGTCGACATCATGCGAGCGGTACGCATTCCCCGCTAGTTGTAGCGGATCGTGGTTTAAATCCGGAAGACCACCCTGGCTAATACTACAAGTGTATTGACAATAAAATACTAGGTGCCATCTGCTTCGCTCGCAAAGATGTTCCACAGGGTTCTGTGCATGCTTCCATTCTATTCTCAACTATATAAATTATATAGTATCAATCTATCTCTTTCTACACTTCCACTTTATTCTCAATACCCCAGGATTTTCACTAGATAATGCACAACCACAATTACAAGAGGACTTTATACAACCATGCAAAACAACTGGATAGCTTTGAATCCCCAACTGCACGCTAACACAAGACAATGTTTGACCGTTATGAGCCCCAACTCTGACAGCCGGAGACATCGCACTTTCTCCATCACCACTGTCTGCAGCACAACAACTGAAAATGTTTCCTCGTAAAAATATCTTGAGGTTTGGCTCGATTCCCATCTCAACTTTAAACCTCACGATGCAAATTTTTAATAATTTTTATAAAAAGGGGACTTTGTATATAAACAAATTCTGTTCCTCATCTTCTACATAGAAACATATGGGAGCTGCTGCCTCCATGCCTCTCATAGACTATGCTGACATCAGATACAAATCAACCTCTGCAACCGACTTTGTATTTCTGAAACTCTTATCTTTTATTTCACCTTACTCTTTGTTACAAAATCCACCCACACGCGACCTGCCGATACACCAATGTATGTATAGAGAATCATAATTTTGATTTATACTGGAGGAATTCGCACCTCCAATTAGCGCGGTTGGCTACATACGGTGTGAAAGAAGTTCAACATATGTACAATCCGATAAGCTATAAAGAATTTTTTCACAGATGTCCAGTTGGGAGGAAAACAAACTACTTCACTCACCAGTGTGATCTAGTTGTACAATATTCCTGAAGGACTCTGTTCTCGGTCTTTGCAATACTTATGGGTTTTTTTGTCTTTGTTGCTGCTGTTTCCAAGCACCACCTATCTCTCCCCTTGTAAAATAGCCGGGCAACTGGCTCAATGGAATCATCCATGCATCAAGTTAAATAACATTTCCTCCAATATCACCTCTTTCAACTTAAATGGAGATTCATTGGGCCATTGGGCGTTAATGCATAAACACTCAGTCCTTACCGATGCAATGTTAATTCAGGACCTAAACCCTCAAAATCTTAAGGTGCCTCACAGCACTAAAGTGCATTGTACAAAGGACACAGAACGCACGTGGTTCTCATTCTCTGAATGCCCCCAACATCTGGAAACCCATCGCCTCAACTCTATCCTGTTACTCTCGCACCATCTGAATCACAAATTCATACTGAACTGTCGATTCCTTATGATAACTTTACCTGCAACTACATCTGATTTCTTGTATCCTGGTCTATTTAAAAATCACTATTGAACTAAAGTCACCCTATTACTGTTGAATTCCTAATGTTGCATTGCAATATATTTTCCATTTCTCATGTGATGCTCGTTTTTGTTCTTGTTTCTATTTGTTTCAATACTTTCTTTAATTTCACTTTTGTCATTTTGGTAACTCAGGTCACTCTTGCAACTGAGACTACCCTTGATCTCTTGAGTTCTCATCTGGTTCAGCAAAAACAAACTTTAGAGATCCCGTGTTATGGAATCATGTTCAAAATGTCAAATTTGAAAACAAAATTATGCTGCAAATTACTTGCTTGGTATACACGTAGCAATTCATCACCCCTTACTGCAAACCTTGGCAGGGCCCTCTTGAAAAAAGTGTTGAGGCTCAGTGAGGCTTATGATTGTAGGCGTCCCTTAATACTAGCCGGGCGGCTCGATGGTACAGCGAGTGACTCACAATCAGAAGGTTGCCAGTTTAAATTCTGGTTGGGAGTGATCCAGCATATCAGAATCAGAAAATGTATTTAGACAGGAATCCGATTAGCTATGAAGCTCTTTCTCACAGATGTCCAATAAACCATCCCTCCAGAGTTGATAATATGAGTGCCACTTCCGTGGGAAAGTCAACGACGGTTGTCCTATGGACAAACTGTCCCCTGCCAGATGAATACGGATTTCATCACCAGCGCAGGGATGTTAATTGGAGGCTTGCACTCAATGCTCATTTCGAGCAGAAAATCGCTTTGACTTATGACCTGAGAGGGCCAGGCCGCGAGCACCGACGACAGGACGCGAGGCCTACCCAGGGCGTGCTCGTACTGCACGTCGGCCAGCACCACCACCCGCTGCGCCGTGGACGGGAAGACGCCGCGGAACGCCGCGAGGCACCGCGACGCGTCGCACTCCCGGCGGCCAAACACGCGCAGCACGGGGAGGAGGCGCGCGGGGCTGAGGCAGGCGTGGCCATAGTGGATGAGGCCCTCTGCCCCGGCGTGCTGGGCCGCCACCTCGTCCACGCAGCAGCTGCCGGGGGAGACGACGCTCGGCATGAGGCAGGGGAACTACAGAATCGCTCCACCACCTGCGCTCGTGTGACACGTTCACACTGTACGGCGTCAGCCACGGCGCTGTTAGGAACGGTGAATGAGGCCGAGAGTAAGTAGTGTCATAGGAAAATTCAAATAAGTAATCAAAGGGGGGGGAAATAACGTAATTTGCGTATCAGCATTATATATTTAGTTTGCAGAGTGTGTGGTGTTATGTAGTGTGTGTGGGTGTGATCAAGTGATGACGGTCAACCATGTAATGGATGCTGATGATCTGGTAATTGGTGTTGTCTCTGAGGAGTTGGAGACTACTGTTGAACCTAGAGCTTGCCACTTATCATCAGCCCTTCAAAAACAAACTGCTTGAGTATTTTGTCATCATACACGCCAACCCTTCAACTTCCGATGATAGGTGGCACAGTTGTGGATAAAATTGCGAAGTTCCCATACTTAGGTAGTGTGCTTATGACAAGTTCCAGTTTGGCGGCAAAGATCTTACTGCTAATCAGTCGAGGAACATAATACATTTATGTGACTGCCTATTGCTGTCACTCCACACGAAGCCACAGTCAAGCTATCCCTGCTCTTTGCTTGCGAAATGTGGACCCCTCTAATGGAACATGGACGCCGGTTTGAAACTTTCAGGCTGGCCTGTCTACGATCCATTCTGGGTTGTGAGCTCACAAATCCTTGAAAGATCTGGACACCTTCCCATCAGTGAGGTCGTCCGGCAGGCAAGGTTGCGTTGGGTGGATCATGTAACCCGCATGCCCAGCAACCGGATGCCCAAGCATGGGCTGGAGAAGAGATGGACTCATGCGGTATGGGAGGATGTGAAGCTGAGTGGACTTGCCGATGATTGGTACCAGCTGTGTCAAGATCGGCCTTTATGGAGGAGGCTAGTGGAGGACGCTACTGGGCACTTTGGGGCAGTCGTCCTCCAACAACAGTGGAGGGTAGAGAAGCGTCGCCTGGAGGTCCCCATACCAAAGCGCGCGGGGCCCCCCAAAGCGCGGGGCCCGGGGCCCCTATTCGCCGTGACCCTCGGGACGGTTCTGTGTACAGTGCAACTATTTAGTGTGCGCAGTGCGTGTACAGTGCAGCTGAGTGACGGCACCTGCCGTAGGTGGAGTCGCCGAGGACGAAGCAGAGCGCGCCGCTCTCCTCCTCCAGCGCCCACGCCACCCGCGCCGCGTCGCCCAACATCGCGTCGGGGAACTGCAGCGCCACCTGCATCGTCACCACGTTACCCACCTCGTCACCCCCACATCACCACACCTCGTCACCCCCACCTCGTCAGCCTCATCTCATCACCACCACACCATAATACACATCTCACCACCCACCCGCCACGTGGTCATCCCCACACATCACCCTCGCTTCGTCACCTCTAATTCAGTCACCCGCACCGCACGCATTCCACCTCCCTGCAGCTCTCCTCTCCCACCACCCTCGCCGCAGCATCCACAACATCACCGCGTTACCCACCAAACATCACCCGCCACCACCACCACCACCCCACATCGCCCCCGCGGCTACCGTGCGCAGGCTGTGGAGTCGCACGAAGGCCGCGCTGCGCTCCACCTCGAACACGCCGCGCAGCTCGTCCGGGGCCGTCGGAGGCGCCAGAGCCGCCGCCTGCCCCCCCTTGCCGCCTCGGAGCAGCGCCTCGCTCGTGTCGCTACTGAAGGCCGACATGGTCCCCTGGACTACCAAGGTCCCCGAAGTGTCCCAGGTCCCCTTCGAGTCTCGCAGACACAAACACGAGACCCCTCGCTCTGACCCGGGGCAGCGCGACTCTTCGGGCTGCTGCTGCTGCTGCCACCTGGTGTCCACAGAGGGCATCAAAAAGCCTGGCTCCTGCTCGCTCAATCTCCACCTCCTTGCTCCATCATCATCAACATCATTAGCCATGGAGCACCCCCCCCCCCCCACACTGCACACTTGAGCAGCTGTTTCCTGCTCAAATGAGCACGAGGCTGTGGTCATCTGTTAATAGCCGAGCCAATGGTGGAAATTCCCATGGTATTGTAAAGTTGACCCAGAGGACAACCCCTGCTGATGTCTTCAACTCTCCTGCATCTCTTATATTCATGGTTATGAACTTGTTTAATTTGAACACATTATTTTACCAGGCAAGGCCCACTGAGCCATATAGCTCTTTTTCAGAAGCGACCTGGCCACAAATGATAGCTCAACGAAGGGGCTTCATGATGCCCTCAGTCTAAATGTCTGTGGTGAGGTTCTTTTTGGAGCCGGCGACTCTATCCCAGGTCTCCTGAGTTATCGCGGGGCTAAACGCACTTTCCTACCATTGAAAAAAAACACCGATTCCTCAAAATTTTATCGTTTTCATGAATCGTGATAATCGAATCGCAGGTGGTGGGGGCGGCTTAAGAGCATATGTCGCTCTCATTGGCTGAGCGAATGACAGGGGCGAGTACATTTCCTTCGCCGGTGCTGCTGCGTGTTGTCACTGGCAAGCAGTTTAGATATCGTAAAAGAAAATTGTCCAGGGCAGAGCGCAATAACAAATCCGCATTCTACGGGGTCACGCTAAGCAAGGTCTGCCTGTAACGGACACAGCATCTGTGCACACAACTGATTTCATCGCTCCATTTTCTCAGCAAATGTCCTCATTCCTTCAACTGCCACTTCCATTATTATCTTGGCCATCGTCCCATAAATCCGTTCTCGCCACGTGCCCCTTCCCGTTATGCCATTCCAAGAAGAAGAGTAGCAGGCCATTATGCGTCGGCATCTTGGCATAAATTCGAATTGAGCAACACATTGCAATATCGCCCGACGCTGCGAAAAGCTGGCAAGACGCTTCTGGAAAGTTTAGAGACTGGCCGAGGTTTTCAAGGGAAAAAAGTGGAGTAAAATACGACCCTCAAGACAGCCAGGGCTAGATATGAAATATTCCGGCAACACAGGTTATGTTAATACAGCAGAGACGTGGAGACTAGTGGCTGGCTCTTCACATTTTATCAAACTGTTAAAACAAAAAGTTAAGGGATCCATTACTCAGTTAACTTTTTTTATTAAACAATATTTAGTCAATTACCATTTGCTTGCTCATTGTTAGGATGAATACAAACTGTACAAATCCTACCAGAATTTGTAGCCAACTCACAAACAGGATTAAAATGTATCACATCATTTTAATTTTGTGAAAAAAAATAATTTATGAAGCACAATTTTAAAGCAAAAATATTCTACATTGTGACAGGTTCCATTCATTAAGTGACGAACTGAAATCTAAACATGGACCAAAGCACACTTGCAGATTAAGCAATGTTGGAGAGTGATTTGCATTACACTCACTGCTTTTTACACTTTCAGATAGATGTAAGACAAATTCACTACATACACGTTGATCCAAATGTTTATTACGATTCACCGCATTGTCAGAAAGGTACAAAAAAACACTTAAAACATTCTACGTATGCTTTTGTACGACAGTTACTTGTAATGAAACCATGTGTGCCACTTTATGCAATCGTTAGTAAGTTGAATGCAGCGTAAAAACCGCTGAGAAACCAAAAACTCTGGGGCAGCAGGCAGTCTGTCTCTTGAACCGCCCCCAGCACTGGATTCTCGCACCCAGCCCAGACGTTGCGATGTCACTCCCCCTTGTGACTGCGCTTGCTCTTTCTCTTGGACCTGCAGCGCCACACACACAACGCGCATCACTGTAGCAAAACGGCTGGTGAAAGTACTTTGACGTTTAATTTTCAGACCTGACGGTGTCACACAGCACATGAGAAAAGGCCTCACCGATCTGGTGAGCGCGAGTGGCTACGGTGGCGGTGGCTGCGATGTTGACCTGGCATAGGAACAACGGAACAAACAATATATCAGACCAAAAGTGCAGCGATTGTAATGTGTTTATGGCAACATTATTACATTATTGTAGGTGTTCCTTAATAATAATAAACCTGGCCAAGTGGATCAGCGGTAGACAGAGCGGCTCGCAATCGGAAGGTTGAGTTCAAATAAATACCACTATGTGGGAAAATGAATGGTGGTTGTCCTGTGGATAATGTCAGCTGCAGGATATAAAACATTACTTCTTCTGAATCTCTCAAGGCTCAGTATTCACCATTATTTGACAGCGCTACCATCATTAACATACACACACTACAATAATGTATTCAATTTGTCAATGGAAAAAAAACAAGTAATTACTAGTGTAATCAGTTTTCACGGCAGGGGGGCAACAATCTCTGGGTTTTTACCAATCGAGTAGTTTGCCTTGTTATTTTAAAATTTGGACCCTGACACCGGCACCCTTCTTATAATCATATCCCGGGAAGTTTAATTTAACGTAAATGTCAGGGCAACGACATTTCAAAGGCTTCCAAAAAAACTGATATTTACAAGCAACAACTGCCAGACCCATACACACACACACATGCGTGATGTGGCCACTAATCAAAGAGTGTGTGCGTGCGAGGAGTGGTGCGAGTGGGGGCGGACGAACCGGGCGACTTTGACCGGTGACGCCGTTCCCTCTCACGCGATCGGTGCCGCCGGGGGGGGCTCTTGCTGCGGTGCCGTTCGCGCCGGGGGGACAAACTGCGGGGACGGCACAGGAACAAATCCGCTTCACCGTCATCGCAACAACAACAAAACCACGCAGCAGCCTGCTCTCCTAATCCCGCTTTTCACTCAAGATCAACGTACGTCATCGTGGCCAAAGCTGTGGATGCCACTACACCCCACTGCGACAAATACCTCATTGCAGACCCCACGCAGAAGCTCCCTTGCTTCGATCGTCCACAAACCATATGGGCTACAACCCTAAACCTAATACGTACAAACCATGGCAGATGCAGATACTTGATGCACACGTGTAACATGTTAAACTCTCCGGTGTGCGACTGTGGTCACACAGAACAGAACCATGGAACATAGAACTACTCTGGTCGATTCACAAATACGGAGGAGGGAGCATCACAGTCATGATCCTCTCCGCTACTCCTGACAATTATCTGGCTTAACCACCTCAATGTAAAATTATAGTTGTTGCGCTACATCAACATCAACCATACCAAGAAGACCTCATTGCGAATGCTTTCTACCCTCCACCAGATCCCTCACCTGCTGCACAGTAGATACACAGTGACCTCCACGATAGTAATAATTCATATAATAATTATTGCATTTAGAATGCACCCATAACGGAACAAAACATCCCAGAAAGCAGCGTTTTAGCCTCGGGAACCAGCTAATGGCAGCTTGTCCCTGTGCGGCACAAAGTGACTCGACACGTAACCTGAAAGCGGGATTAAGCCTGTCAGTAGGGGGCCATGATTTCCGTGTTACCAATTCAGTAATCTTCAGTGTGATTGTCGAATTTGGAAAATTTCAACCGTTACGGCAGCACACAATGGTCTATTTTAGAATGGCATCATGTGATCTTAAAGATCTACTATGAAGTATACGACGTGAAATATTTTTACGGTTAAAGCACACCGCAGTATTAACCTGGGCAGTCTGCCAGATTCGAACAGCGTTAGCTCTGCAACAAGCGGTGAATGCGCTCCCGCTGGATCACCGCCCCAGATCTGCTCTAACAGTTTCTCCCACCATCTGACCTTAGGTCTTCTCTCTCCCTTGGTTACCGGACTCATGGAGACCGCTCTACTCCCTGTCTCCAGTAATCGGGCCTCCACATGCTACCTCTTGCGCTACATGCAGTCATGAGACCACGGGAAGCAGATACATCACCAAGCAGCAGCCCAGACAGAGACGTACCTTCTCCTCTTTGGTGATCTGCTCCGTCTGAAATCAAACAAAAATACACATCGTACTCTGTGTAAGCACTCATGCAAATGCAATTCCACACAATCCCAACATCTGCTCTGATGAGCAACAAGCCACGAATGCACCACATATGGATATTTCATTAATCGATACACCAAGGACACACAGCCATAGTTCTGAGCTCTCACCAGTATTTTTGAAGAATAGAAATTGAGGGTACACTTCCTGCTATAACATACTACCTTCTATGATTCAGAAACATCATGGTCATTGACAAAAGATATAAAAAATATAGCATGTAGAGATGCGTGCTATAAATAACATTCAATCGACACACACAGCAAACATGAAATGGCATGCATACACCCACACCCAACACACAAGACACCCACACATACCCTAACTACAGACACGCATACGCATTGAAAACACAATGACACGTGTAGTGTAATAGCGCCGGCTGGTGGCTAGCGGCGGCAACTGTAGTGGACAGACAGTACATACACTGATGAGCGTGTACACGGCTGTGTTGGCAGTGAGAGTGGCCCATGTGGGTCTGTATTTGAGTGAGAGTGGCCTTTGTGGGTCTGTATTTGAGTGAGAGTGGCCTATGTGGATCTGTATTGGAGTGAGAGTGGCCTATGTTGGTCTGTATTTGAGCGAGCATGTACCTATATGGGTCTGTATTAGAGAGAGCGTGTGGCCTGTTTGGGTGTGCAGAGTAGGGGCAGCACGCGACCTGCGTGGAGGGGTCTTGCTGCGGCGGAACCGCGGCGAGGGCGTGCGTCGTGGCCGCTCGGCGTCGCGGTGTTTCCGGCGCTCCACGTCTTGCAGCGGGGCCACCTCCACCTGCCACACGTCGGAGTGAGCGTCAACGCCTCGGTGCAACCCGCCAAGCAGCTAGCTCGGCGCTGCAGCGAGCAGCTCGCAATCCGAAGTTTTGCGATGTCAAATCCTAGGTTTGGGGGTTGACTCATAATCCTTCAAGAGTTGATAGCACGTATTATTGTGCTTGTTTACCCAGGAAAGCCTCACGGAGGGTCGTCACAAGTTTGCGTATGGTCGTGTTGCTGCTGTGTGTTTTCCCAATTGAGAAATTTGCAAGTAAATTTCATAATTGGGATGTTTGGACAATACCAGTTACATTGTGGATTTCTTTAGCTATAGGAGGAAACTAGAGAACCCGGAGGAATCCCATGCAGAACACGGGGGGTGAGGGGAGACCAGACAAACTCCATGCAGTCATCATGAATGTTCTGCCTGTGCTAGGGATTTTTCGTGTGTGTGTGCTGCAGTGTGTAGTGCAGTGAGCGGGGCACACCCTCTTAGCTTCATGGTGGTCTTCATCATCTTCATCTTCATCACTAGATTCTCCTCCATCCAGATCCTCTTCCAGGGCGCTCACCCGCACCTCCAGCTCCTCCACCACCTCCAGCACAAACCGCTTCTGTACCACCACCACAAGCAACCGCCACAACATGAAACAGCCTCTCATGCACCTTATACTTATATCTGACTAGCTTGACTACCCGGCTTCGCCCGAGACTTGGATTAATACACGGCCTACGCGGAGGGTGGGGGGGGGGATGCGTGACGTCAGCAGGCCCCCCCTACTGTGCCAACTTGCTGTGCTTTAGCCACCCGGTGCTCCGCTCGTTGTTCTGAGCGTCGCTCCTCCGCCCTCCGTTGTTGTAGGAGGGCGACTGCCTCCAACTACCCAGTAGCATCCTTCACGAGCCTCCACCACAGAGGCCGATCTTGACACTGCTGGTACCAGTCATCGACAAGTCCACCGAGCTCCACATCCTCCTGTACCACATCACTACATCTCTACTCTAGCCCGTGCCGCGCCCGTTTATCCCCCTCAATCCGGCGGAACAAAAGCTGTTTAGGCATGCGGTGGCTGGGCATGCGGGCTACATGGCCCAGCCAACGCAGCCTTGCCTGTCGTAGGAGGTCACCAATGTGACTTTGTCCAGATCTTTCAAGGATTTGTGAGCTCCTCACACAATCCAGCCTGGTTAAACCCAGGATGGATCATAGGCAGGCCAGCCTAAATGTTTCTAACCGGCGAAGATGTTCCAATAGGGGAGTCCACGTTTCGCAAGCGTAGAGAAGGGAGGGAATTACCATGGCCGAGAAGACCTGGAGCTTCATTCGGAGCGAGAGACCAGGTAGCTTCCACACAGCGTTATGCAGCCGATGAAAAGATAATGCCGCTCGACTGATTCGGAGTGAGACCTCTGCTGTTAAACCACAGCCGGTCATGAGCACACTTGCCAGGTATGGGAAACTCTCCACTCTCTCCACAACTGCCCCATCACCAATTGTGAGTTGTGGGGGTGGATTATGCGATGGTACAAAATACCCAGGCAGGTGCTTAGTTTTGGTGGGGCTGATGGTGAGGCCCCACCTCTTAGTGGCAAGCTCCAGGTTCAGCAGCAGCGCCTCCAACTCCTCCTCTGAGTGAGCAGCAATCACCAGAGCATCGGCATACATAACATGGTTGAGCAATAGGGGGCCATCCCTTGACCGCACCCGGGCATCGATCAGCCTCCCATTGTATCTGTACCAGATGGGAATTCCTCTGGTACAGCCATTGAAGGGTTCACGAACTACGTGGTCAAAATATATGTTAAATAATATGGGAGCCAGAGGACATCCCTGTCGCACCCCAAGATGTAGAGGGAATGGCTCTGACTCACGGCCACGTAGTTTTACGCGGGGCCGCTCATCATCATGAAGGTCCTTAAGGATCGTGAGCAAAGTGTGAGGGACTACGAAAGAATGAAGAACAACCCAGAGGCCAGGACCTACTGATGGTATCATAGGTCTTGACCAGGTCAATAAAGCATACACATGGACTCACATGCACACATGGACCGACAGACACGCAAAGAAATCGACTTACACTGGTGCCACGCACACACAGCAACTAACACACACGCACTATGGACTGACACACACACACATATCGACTCACACACACAGCGACTGATACACACAAAAACACTTAGACGTACACACACATTGGGCGTTGTCCGTTCGAAAAAGACAGATACACGCATGGACTTACACACAAGCATTGACCTACACGCACACACATATGGACTCAAACACACACACATCGACGTGCACAGCAATCCCCGATGATGGCACAGCTATCAGTATCGCAGTACTACGTTTCAGTAAATAGCGTGATGTGAGCAAATCGATACAATAGAAATGCATTGAAGAAATAAGGTGAAATAAGTCTACATTAAAGAGCAGCAATACGCACAGGTAAGTTGAGAAGCAGGCTACAGTCTAAATTATAGACTGCCAGTACGCCGACTCAATGACATAAGCATTGCTACAGTCGACATAAAAAACTGGCAATATGGTCAGCAGCTGAAAAGCAGGATACAGTCGACATGAAAGGCTGAACAGTACACTGAGTGAGGTAAAAATGCAGGCAACTGATTATAGACTGGCATATACTCATAATGGGCGAAAATAAAATTAGCAGTGTAGATAATAGAGTGCGAGTGCACGGACATTAACAGCAGGCAGCTGGCCACAGCACAGACTGGCAGTACACTGTCACAGCGTCATAAAAACACACCTAAAAGGGAAATATTTAGCAACCTAATAATGAAATATTCGTTTTCTGCATACAAACATTATTATTGTAATATTTGCCAACTTATTTGTTTCATAATAGTAAACAATGAACCTGAGTTATTAGCAAAAGATTAAATAAAATTGTACTTTACATTGCCGTGGTGAGGCCTAGTCCCGTGCAGAGCCTGCTGTTTCGCCTAGATTTCCCAGCCGGAGGAGGTGACACATTGCCAGCCTGGGGGCTGGGCCGCTCTCCCCACCCGCGCTGCAATAATGCTATGGAAGCGCTATAATATTAATATCTACGGACTTTATATCAGTAACTGCATGCATTGGGGTGGGGGGGGGACATAAGACTGTGAAGAATGAACCTCAGCGTTGTGTGTATATTTTTTAAGCATTGTTAACGCGAATTACATTTTTTAGCGATCGTGTGTGCGTTGCTAGGGAAACTCCTGTCAGCGTTTCGCGCATGCGCAATTGCGTGCTTTGTCCCGCGGCGGGCGACAAAACTACATAAATAAATAACGAAAAATCGCACAAAATTGCTAATGAAACTAATTTTAAGGTGACGGACGTGAAAAAGGAATAGCGCTTGCCAACCGCGGGGCTTACGGTGTGGTACCTGGCAATTTTTTTTACGTAAACCCCACCGTTTGAGAGCCAAATCCCTCGCAAGCACGTGAAAACACAGACAGATAGACAGACAAAAATTGACATTTATATATAGGAAGATGACAACAAGCATACAAATCTACCACACACAATGCCAAGAGTAGGTATTTTATGTTTTCCTTACAAGGGCAGTGATGATGCAACACTCTCCGGTCATTCTCTTTGGTTTTTTCGGTAAAGTCACGTAGGTAAAACAATTAATAAAATAAATAAATGAAAACAACTAAATTAAATCACGACGTTTCGGAGGCAACACAAGCCTCCCTCATTAGGTGTAAAAAGGCACAGCAAAATAACTGTAGCGAGAGTTATTTGTGATGAGACATTGTTATATATTTATTAATTGTTTTACCTACGTGACTTTACCGAAAAAAAGCTAAGAGTATGAATCCTTGCAGTCACGAAAGCTTCAAATCTAGACTCTCCGGTCACTCGCTCGCCGGTGGTAAGTTGCCTCCTTTTCACTCTTCTATTGCTACTACCATGGTTACTGTTCTCGTGTTTATAAAAAAAACAAATTGCATACAGCATGGGCCTTTTCTCATAGCAATGATGATGTTAATCTTAAAAAAAGTTGCTAAACATTCCACATGATCCTTTTTTTCTGAAAGGATAATTGGTGTCAAAATGACATTGTTAACTGTTAATACCACAGTTAACAACGTGATAACTACCCTGAGGAAAACTCTGAACAGTCTGGAAGCATGTATAATTATTGCCTCATTGAGTTATTACATTTTGACTTAGCTGTCGTGACTGCAGGAATTCATACTTTGTGTCTTTCGGTAGTCGTGAGGAAAATCAGGCTCTCCGATCTTACATTTATATGCAAATTACAGAGTGACATGCTAATCTCTATCAATACAATGGACGCCTCTTCAGCACCTAGTCGTGAGGTGTATCAGGCTCTCCGATCTTACATTTACATGCAAATTCCATCTCTAGCTTCGCCCACTTGGGTTGCACCCTTCTCAAACCTATATAACCTCTTGCTGTAGCAGCTCTCCCACGAAATTTCTCCTACCTCAGCAGTTCTCCTGCTCTATTTTTTCACCTGAAGACGATTGCTTGTGTTACGATCGAAACGTCGTGAATTTTTATTATTTTTCTATCTACACGACTTTACCGAAAGACCCAAACAGTATGAGTTATTACACTTTTATGATTTTCATATATAATTTTTAAGAATGTGAACATAACATAAAAAGGTCGAAGTGCAGCCCTGCAATTACCTGTGCCTTCCAGAGGATACTTTGGCCTACTCTTTCCAGACTGGGCAGACTTCTTGGGAGATTTCAAGTTTATTTTGTTTCGCCAAATAAATACAAACATTAGATCAGCCTATTGACTTTCCAGACCAACATTATCAAGCAGTATTTATTAAGTAAGCAAACTCCGGACCAGCTTACACATTTTGGGTCTCATCAGCAGTAAGGCTTGCGCAACAAAAGCTGTTGCATTACCAGATGTTATTCAGGTGAGAAATTGAAGCAAACAGGAAGAGACTCATTTGCAAGAGTGACCAGTGTCACCAAAATAACAAATGCAAAAAATCAATGTACAGCAATGAAACATGAGGTAGGTGTACCCACACTTTACCCCACCACACAACCTGCCAATCAATGAGCGAGTGGGGGAGGGTGTGGTTTAAGAAACTTTGCACAATTGTTTCCCTTTCCAGACAAGAGGACAGATAATCTGCAGTCAAAAATGCTAGGGACCAGATCACTGAACTTCCCATGCAATTTGCAAGACACTCGGACAACACAGCCGTCTTACCTGCAGCCTGGGCAGAATAATGTCGCAAACCCGCTCCTCTCTCAGCAGCTCATCGATGAATTCATCCACATGGATCATTTCAAATTCTTTGGGAGCACAAACATGACAAGGTTACATCACAGGGTAGAGGCAGTGGTTCCCAACATGTGGTCCACACATATTAAACAATGCCCATCTCTTGTTAACAGCGCTGAGCCAGTGATGTCAATTACCACATTCGAACATTTATTAATGCTGCCATACAGAGCACACATTAAGCTGAAGTTGTAAATGTGGTGTGCCATATCTGAGATCGAGCACACATTATTTTTTTTTTACCTACGTGACTTTACCGAAAAAACCTAAGAGTATGTAGCACACAGTTCCTACCTCTCTCCACTTGATAGTTTTCATAGTAAAGTATTCAGGGCGACTGATGATCCAGTGCTTACGAATTCACTCCAGTCACTCGCTCACCGGGAGTCAGCCGCCTCCCTGTCACTCATTATTTTATCGCTACCACGTCTACTGTTCCCATGAACTTCACTTATTGATTCCTCCACCAATGTCGAGGACTCAATGGCCATTTTGTTTCATCAATACTGTGTTCAACTGCTGGACTGCAGGTCACAATGCGTCTTCTCTTTCTGCTTCTTACCCTCTCACTGCTCCAATTTAGATTTCCCTCCCATCGTCTCTTTCCCCAGGTCTATAATCATCTCGGTGAAATACAACACGTTGACTTACAACTTTCAAAGTGCTAAACTTAACATGTAGGCTTTCATGACAAACATTATGATCTATTATAGATGTTTGTGTCAGATCGCTCCCTTGTGGGTGCACATTAAAGACATCACACCACCTATTTAAAGCCCAAGACTGGAGGACATTTTTTACAATTCTGGCAACTGACTGATGATGCCGGTTGTAACTACCAGCGAAACATCCATACCCAGTTGTTAAATGTTGTGAAACCACTCTCTGACACTACCAATGTGCTGCTTTAAGCAGTAATAAACCGACACGTTTGTGTTCATGGCGTGACAACTTTTATTAATCGACTGCGTTGGGTGGAAGAGTACGCCACACATTTTACTCACGTGGCGATCTGACCCAAAAAATGTATTATGAATTCAATACGCTGTTCTTGCTTCACGTTGGATTGACCACAAGTTAGAGAAACCCACCACCGCTCCGTGCCTGTCGTTTGATCTTCCTGTAATCGTTGTAGAGTGGCTCCAAATACTTGTAGCAGTCCATGGGGGTTCCAGTCAGCCGCATGTACATGGCTCCCAGAAGCCTCACATACCTGTGCGACACATTTAAATTTACAAATTATTTTAGGAAGCTTTTTTTTATATAAACTGTTGCCGAGCACATGTTAAGCGCCCAGTAATAAACAGCACTTATTAAAGTTACAATAGATAAAGAGTTAACACAGTTTCTTGAATTTAGCAAGGTTATTATTATTGTTGTAAGAGCTTAGGGGGGAGAGAAACGAAAGGGAGGAAATTGCAAGGTGGAGCAGTGCAAGGGGAATAAGCGGAAAGGCTAAGCGGTGAGAGGACACGACGTTTAGACTGTTGTTTCGTCGGTAAACTAAGTCGAGCAATGTTTCCAAATGTGCAGCGAGGCGCAAAAAATGCACTTCAAGATCAATATTGTCATCATGGCCAATGCCGCTGATGCCACCATACCCACCACCCTCCGCCAGATCCTATATGGTCTTAGACAAGGGAAAGATCCCCCATATAGCCTTAACAGACTGTTGGGGCAAGTGATGTTAGCGAGCACCTCTTAAGGCCGGCACGGGACACGTGGGGGTAGATGGCTAGCACCACGCCCGGCCGCCTTTGCCTCCCCAGTGGGCGATGTTTACACACTGCATCAGGTACTCATTTTAGACTGAGTCGACCTATGGGAGGCCCAGGACGGGGTCAGATAATTGTCACTGCCGTTGTTGGTCGAGAGCGGGAATCGAACTCGGCTCGCCGGGTTTTTAGCGCAGCGCGCTAACCGCTAATCTGGTCTTGGACCACATAGATAACCAACATGGAGACCCATAGACTCACACAGAGACCTCATAGATCTGCCCGAGTCTCCCACCATCTGCTCTTATGGCTCCTCGCTACACGGTTAACTTGTTGCGATGTCTCACTTGAAGTCCTCGTTTCGGATGAACTCAACCACGATGTCTTTCTCTGGCTGGATCTGCAACATCTTGAGCACCAGGCACAGAAAGGGAGTGGGCTTTATGTTTCCCCCGTACACTCCGCCCACGAAACGCAGCTCCATCGCCTTGTCCACCACCAGCTCGGCTGCCGGGACACACGCGCGAGGCGCAACCGGGGTGAATACACGCAGCAGAAACACAACACAAGCACACAGAGCAACGATGCCTCAACAACCTGTTGGTGGCGAATGCTGTTGGCGAGCACCTTTCAAGGCCGGCACGGCACACGAGGGGGTGGGTGGCCAGCACCACGGCCCGGCCGCCTTTGTCTCCCCACTCAGCGGGGATATTTACAAACCGCACCTGCTACAGTACTCATTTAAGGCCGAGTCGATCGAGGGGTGAGGTCCAGGACCGGTTCATTTTTATTCGTCACCCTATGTTGGGCCCTAAGAGACGTTTTGCCAGTGCGCTAACCGCTGCGCAAAGTTCGTAACGCACTCAACGCACAGAGGCAGCCAGGCACCCAGGCACAGAGGCACCCAGGCACAGAGGCACCCAGGCACAGAGGCACCCAGGCACAGAGGCACCCAGGCACAGAAGCAGCCAGGCACAGAGGCACAGAGGCCGCCGCCGCGTGTCGCCATTGCAACTCCGCAGGCGGCTGCGGGGCGCGCGCGGAAGGAGCGAGGCTCCGGCTACGGTCAAACGCGCGCCGCGCTCCTCACCCGTGAGCGCGAAGCATTCCTCCTTCCAGTACTTGGACTCGTAGATGCGCGTGCGGATGATCTTCTCCACCAGGTACTGCGGGTTGGTGCCGCGGATGCTGTGAGCGTCCTTCACCGTCCGGTTCGCCATCGCCGCCTCGGGCCGGAAGCGGCCGCCTCTGACCCCAGCGGCTGCGCCGACGACCCCGGAAGGGATTTGTGGATGGGATTGTCACGCGCACGTGCCGATCACGTGGGGGCCGCGTTCCGCTATGGCAACGCTCAGCTGTGGTCTGGGGACGTTGCAACCAGTCAATTGTGGACTGTAGCCGCCGCGTTGGGTCGGTGAAAAACGACTGCGCGCTTAATGGAGACGCCCAGGCGTTGAGATGTGATCATGGCCTAAGCTCGTTGATGCCACCATCGCACTCCATTTCCAACGCGTTATACCCTCCGTCAATCCCCGCAGCTGCGAGTGCTGCTGCACAACAGCGACCTCAGATCTGCCTACCAGTCTCCCGCCATCTGGCCTTGTCTTCTCTTCCCCTTGGTCGCTGGAGAACACTCGATCCAATACAGGACATATGTCCGCAGTCCCCCTCCCCGCCTCCGCTATCACAGGATTTGTTTTTGTCCTTCCACTGGCTCAATACCTTAAGAGACGTCGTTCGGTGCTCAAAAGTATTTGGAAACGTTAACTTTATTTTCACAACTGTGAAACATTACATCTCTTGAACATTTACTGAAACTGGTAATACGATCAGAGCATTAAATATACAACACCAACCGTGAAATGTTTTTATTAGATAACCTACATTGTTAAAACATTATTGCAGGCAAGGAAATTATGTTATGATGAAGACCATCCGTTAATATAATATAAGTGACGCAATTTTACGAGAACACCTCGGTCAGACGTTTCATAACCAATTTACCAACTCAGAAAATCCCACTAAATATATTTAGAAAGTTCTTCATAGCGTCCTCGTCATCCTCCTTTTGTTGTACACTAAAATGTTTAACAATAACGACAAGCATTACAATAAGTGTGTCAATTTAAAATAATCCTCACAGTAGGCCATATTATTCACTGACTATACTTGTTAACCCAGGAAAGCATCAGTCAAAAATTATATTAGCCCATAGGGGGCGACAAATGCTAATAATACAGTAAAGGTTTTTGTTTTGGTTAGATCGCATAAATGTGTCGTTAACCCACCACCACCCGACACAGCAAATTAGTAAAGTTTGTCACGTAAACAAGACGTACCAATAGTTCATACTTCAGCCCACCGGTGTGTTGCAGAGTAAATGCACGAATCTGGCTGTCCGCCTGATGAAGCTAGTTGTAACCACTGGCGTAGATTGTAAATGTTGTGGAGTTGCTCTCCAACACATCGGCGTGCTGTACTAGTAACGAATTGGCATTTATATTTACGCGATATAACCCAAAAAACCTATATTATGGATAAATGCACATTTACAATTTGAGTGCTGTGATGTTTCGCTGGTAATTACACCCAGCTTCATGACTACTTGTGAGGGTTGCTAATTTTTAATATGGGAGAGTGGGTTTTGATCCATTTTCTGTCCCATGCAATTCTCTCAATATTTTTTATAGGACACCAATGCAGATTCTTTAAACGTGCTCTACGACGACAGAAAGGACAATAACCTGATATAGAATACAATAAATCTTAACATTTTACATTTAGAATGTATAAACTATGCCTTGATTCCTTTTGCACTATTGACACACTATGCACCAGGACGCGAACCAACTGTGGCGGATGACAATTTCTTGACAACCAAGTACACTATAAAGATTCAATTAACTCCCTATTATACACTCGTATAACAGCACCGTCGCTAATTCGTTTTTTTCTTACCCCCGTAGGAAATGTAACCTTTCAATATACGGCGTACAACAGTACAGTACTGTCATTTGCAAATTTGACTCCGGCACACAATGGCCAACTCATCTATTTTAACATCCTCTTCGAAGCAGACGGCGTGTCGTATTTAGCAGTTAATAGACCTACAGTAATATCCAGGACAACCTGCTAGATTCTAACCCTGGGACCTTTACAACAAGCGGGAAAAACCACTACCGCTGGGGCAGGTACTATATAAGAACGTTAAATACGATAATACTACACTCGTGTTTTTGGCCCGTTTTTGAAAGCATTGGTTTTTCTCACCAAGTGGAGCTTGGAGAAAAAAACATGCGACTTTTGGAATCACCGTAGGATTTCTCACTGCATGCCACCTGAGATGTAAAAAGAGAGTAAGAACTTAAATATCGTCCTCCAATCACAATCATGTCAAAAACAAGATGTCATCGTGGTGAAAGCCGTTGATACCACCAGACTTCTCCAAGCAAGGGAAGAAGCAAAACGAGAGTTGTTGTGGTCAGTGGATGAAGAGCGTGGATGAGATGAAAGTCTGGTAAACCGAGTTCTCAACATGTGTTTAGAAATCAATGGGTGAGGCTCAAGCGAAGAGTAATCATAGCAGATAAATATTAAGTGATAAGCAGGTAACTGTCGTTAAATTCTATGAATAATTATAATTTCAATGCTCTATTTGGAACTAAACCTTAAACCACACGTGCGATCATGGTTCATCATATCTTACCAAACGTCCATATTAAATGTAGAATTTACATTTGTATGTGAAGTCTGTGATGCAATTTTACCTGCTCAGGATTTGTCAGCAGAGGTTGATTGGCTTGTGCGACACAGGGGGGAACAGCTTGCTCACATTGCTCCTGGCGATTCCACTGCACATCCAGTCCTGAGCATCTGTCATAAGATCTCTTCCTATGGTTGTTATCCCTCTTGTCGACTCTGCACAACCAGAATGTGGCCTATTTAGTAGCTCTTTCGGTAAAGTCACGTATATAGAAATAAAATAAAAATAGATCACAATCTGATCTATTTTATTTTATTACACGCTTTTATTTAACTCACTGTCTGTTGTTGTTGTATCCTCAAATCTTGTAACTTAATTTTTACCCACTTCCCAATGTGGTATCGACTGCAAACTTTGTATACTTATGTCATACTGATGACAATACTATATTCTATCATAAAAAAAATAAACATATTTTAAAACATTATTTTTTATATGTTATGTTTCGGCTTGGCTTTAATTGTCCACGGTAAACTGACGTTGGCTGTAAATGACCACGGTCCCTTACGTTATGGCAAGCTTCGGGGCCACTTCCTGGAGTCGAGGAGTTCTTCCATTACAAGTACGGTACATTTCAATAAAGCGTATTTTTTTAAAAAGTGTTTTTTTATAATAATTACTTTAATTTTATTTCTACATACGTGACTTTACCGAAAGAACCAATGAGTATTGTATTCCTCTCTTAAGGATCAAGCTGTTTAATTTTCCAGGAAAACCTCACTGACTCCTAAGACTATTTCCAGATCTTGGTTTGGGATGTTTGGCCATTTCCATTCATGAGAAAATTAGTATGTTGGAGAAAACTGGTAAACTCTGAGAAAACCCAGATCATAGTCCAAGCTATCAACAGCTAGAAAGCCCCGATGATCACCCATTGAATGCTTAACCAGACTTAACTGATTAGCTTTGGACTGGTAAGACCTGGTGCATTTTGGATGATTTCGCTGAATAACGTTTACATGTAGAATGTGTGTTGTGTGAAAGGTGATCTGAGAGACACACCCGCTGTCGGCTTGATTTAGAAATGCTGGAACTGGAACATCAGTGACGCTCAAGGGAGATAGTAGTTTGGCCACTCCACTTGGTAACTCTCTGGACTCCGACATGTAATTCACACTCTTGTCATCAGCAAACACATCTGCACGCCGTCACATCGAGGACTTTACCGAAAGAACCAAAGAGTATGGATTCCTGCAGTCACGAAAGCTTCAAATCAAGATTGCAGGTGTAATCTTTGAACATTCATCAATTATTTTGTCTCAATTCAATTCGGGTTCTTTGTCGAGGTGACCTCTGGGGCAGAAGAAAAATAGGTATTAATAATAATAGATCAAATATTACCTTAAAGAATAAAAAAAATGTTTAATGCCAGTGTTAAATTAAATTACCCTAAATTTTAGGCTACCCTGTATATCGGAAACAGCTTAATATGCTTGGCATTGTACTTTTAAAACATTTTATCTGGAAAATAGATCAAGAAATTTAATTTTTATTTATTTAATCATCTATTATAATACATTCCCAAGTGAATAAATGTTTGCTCTTTTTATAGTCTGTGGCTCATTTTAAAGCTATCCGACAATGTGGCTCAGCACTAGATCGAGTGCTTGCAAATTGGGAGATTACGAATTTAAATCCTCATTTGGGGTTGACTCTGCCCATCAACCCTTCGTGGTCTAGAAGTACCAGTTTGTGAGAAATTAATCAGTGGTTGTCCTATGGATAGAGTCTCCCCCTGCCATTGGAAAGGTGAATTCCCAACACTGGATCAGGGCTATAAACAGGAGTGTGCAACAATGCTCATTTGAGCAAGACATTTATTCTGACTTTTTTCACTACAGTATTTTAAACCTCCATCTTTTCTTATCTCCTTTAATTTGTTTCCAGGTTTGTACAATTAAAATGTAGGGTTACAAACATATAATTACAACAGTGCCATATTATTCTGTTAACTTTGGAAGCGGAAGGGACAGAGAGATAGATAGACATGCAGGCATGAGTGAGAATGTCTCGTGGGACAGACACTCGACCAAAGGGCCCAGAAAGACATGCGTCGCTTATTTTTAAATAAAGCATTGCATTTAATTGTAGTCATTGTTTTAGGAGGTTAAGAGCTCAGCCGACACGGAGTTATAAAAATGACAAGTGTAACATTTGAAGTTGAGCATATAGCTATTATCTACAGACATAACCAAATTACCCAACTGGCCTTGTGGCGACAGCAGCTCAGAAGGGCCACTGCATCTGCAATAAGACATACACGTTTAAAATATAAAGCTTTGCCATGGCTATACAAGTACAATACACCTTAACACTGTATGACTCAGCATAATTAAAATGTATGAATCACTGTTGCATTTTTAATATTCAGCACACTTAATTTACTGTAAAACGTACCTGTCATCATGCGGTCCATACTGAGGCTTAGGGGCGTAAGCAAACTTGGATAAATTCACTGTATTTCTCCCCTTTACAGAGCAAACCTATGAATGTACTCAACACAAGACACAACAGTATGCTCATAACGTGCTTAAGGTATATTGAGGGTTTACCATTTATAGTACTAAACGCAAATACAATCTGATATTTTCGTTTTGTATCAAATGACAATTATTATAAAATTGGCATGTTACTAATGAAAACAAGTCAATATGAGACAAGATATATAATGTTTGGGGTGTATATTAAATAATGCCACATTTAATCCTTATGCACTTTTAAATCTAGATTGAAAACTAATTTCTTTAGAACTGATTTTTGTGTTTAGTTTGTTGTACTTCTGCCGCACCTCCGATATGGCACGGTTGGCTACATACGGTGCGAAAGAACTTCAACATACATACAAATGCATTTCAGAATATTTCACAAAGCATGGGTGCTTATTGATACATGGGTGCTTATATATTTAAAATGTAGCAAAGGCTACATAGAAACGCATTCAGACAAAGGCTGTTGTAATCCGTAACTATCCCAAGAGTGGAAACCGAAACAGGCACACTCTCGCTCCCAGAGCCACTTCAACATGGAACAATGATCTCCCGCACACACTCGACTATGATTAAAACCCACTCGCACAATGTGCACAACTGTTACAGCTCGAGTGCATTCTTCACAGTGCAGCGGTGTGCACCACTGCATTATGTATTTATTTGTGTGTTGACAGGGTGCGATACTCACTATCAGTTCTAAATGTTTGCATACGTGTTTGCTACGTACATGCCAATTTACACCCTGAACACCCTTGAAAATTAGATGTTCCATCTATAGGGATTATCCAGATTGAATGTTATGATGAACAAGACAAAACGAGGTACAGTATCAACACAAGTGCAGTAACAGACGCGAGGGCTGTAAAGTGTGCTATGTTTAACTATAACATTTTCACTCATACCTTAAGTCCTTTGTGATTTGGAAAGCCAGTTAGACTTAAGGTCTTGCTTTTTCGTTCACTTACGAAGTCACGTACGTGAGTGCTTGGGGTCCTAGGCGTTAGCGGCATTGACCTGGCCATATTTCTTTGCCTAGAAGTTAAAATGGCGCAACACAAGCGATTAGACCTGAGTAACAACACTGAATTTAACAGGTGCTTTCGCATTACGGGTGGGCCGCTCACAGTTGGAAGGTTACAAGTTCAGAGCCGAGTGGGTGGTTAGCTCAGCCTACATTCACCAGGGTCAGTAAAATTGGTATCATATTGTGGGGAAGACGACAGACTCAGACTCCTGTGAATCAGACTCGCCCCCACCACAGGAATGTACAATTAGCACCACTGGACCATAGCTGTCATTAGGAAATGAGTATCGCCTAAATGCTCATTTGAGCAGGAAAACAAAGACTATACGAGTTATTTATTTATTATGCCTATGATACTTGCAACAAATTGTGCATGAAAGAATGATCGATTGATGCAAATTATATGCAAATGTGTCATTTTGGCGTACGTTGAAAATGAGACCACACAGACAGAATATACGAGACAGACCATACAAATGAGACAGCAGAAACTTGACACAAATAATGCAGTCTTGAATCGAATCGTAACAAATCACATTATTTTACACATTCCATTACCAGCCTACAAAAAAATAAATACGCCTCCATGTTTGTCCCTCCACATAGACATTAAAGTATTTGTACACATCCCATTTGCAAAACCTCCATTCTGGGAATGCATAATTACAGCAGAATTACTGTAGTTTAATACAATAAAACGCTGCACCAGTTTTGTCATTCAGTGTCTCATCAGCAAAGTCAGATTTACTTGAATCTATGCTGGTTAATGGCCAGAAGTGTATCGGTCCTCGTTTGATGCAACATATGATACACAACCCAAAATAATAATTGCTTATTATATTAATAACTTTGTAAATGTTTAAATTATTTTGCAATACAAGCCTAGCAATTGTAATGAAGGTACTCACAGCACTCGTGTCCACACATTTGTTTATTCTTACACTTATGAAGACAGCTTCTTTTGGAACCATCCGAGCCAGCAGAGTAACCTTCAAAAACAAATGAGAGCTCTGTGGAGAAGTTTTTCATTGTAAACGTATTTTATTACGACATATTACATATGATGTGACTAATACAATCAAATGCTGAATTTTAATGAACATTACTTTTATTTTAGGTCGAGCAAAGAATTGAGATATGTAAACCACTATAGTGTGCAGAAGCATGTCTTAAAATGTTCCAAGGAGGGTGGGGGACAGTCCTGAAGTTTTAATTAGGTCCCTATAGTCATACAAAATACATATAGTTAATGTATTTTCTCTGAGAATAAAATATTAATTTCGGGGTCTCAAGGAAGATGGGAGGGGGGTAGATCGTCACTGTCAGTTTGGAACTCTTTAGCACAAAAGAGATGATCTTTGCAGGAAAATATAATGCACCACACTTAACGTCCCTTATGTATATTACTGCATACTGCCAAACCTGAGCTGGTGGGAACAATTGCACAATTTAAGGATTATATCAGTATTGTAGATATGAGATGCTGCATTCTAAATTGGTTCAATGGAATCAAATGCATACATCGAAATAAACAAATTAATCTAAAATGCATGTAGAAATGAGGCGACACAAACCATTGCCGGCTGCTTGTATTGCTGCTGTGACAAACGTCTTTGGTTTCTCGCAGGTAGTAGCATGCAGGGATTGGGCCTGCTGATGCCTCTCATTGCCGTAGAACCCAGAGGTGCGTGGGCTAGAGTAGGATGGTGTGAAGTTCTGATGGATGTCCATACCAACTGGGAAAAGCATTAAACCACATTTTTACGACTATAGCTTTAATCATCTTCACCACTCATTTTTTTTCAGCCAAACACACGAGAGTGAGAAACCTTGCCGTTGTAATTGATCCTGAGCTCGAGTTCTCTTTCCAATATCAACTCTGGAGGGCCCATACCTCCATCTGCACATTTCCCACGTCCACCATTTCCTTACCCCAGCTGCCATCCATACCTTCACATCTCCTCACATCCTCAAACTCCAGATTATCCCAGATGCCGCTGACAGGCTTATCGTCCACATCCGTAAACAAAACATCACCACAATACTCAGATCCCTCCACTCTCCCAATGCAATCCCACATCAATTTTTAAATAGTACCAACCATCTTAAAGATCCTCCATTGACTCGCCCATGCCTAAATATCTCCCTCTCATCTCAATCTACTCCCCTCCACATACTCTTCACTCCAGCAACCAAGGATTTCTGTCAAATTCCCCCTGTAAACCTTGGTTCACTGGGAAGTTGCTAACTCTCGTTTGCTGCCCCCATAATCTGGACCTCCCTCCTCCCAATCATAAGTTATGTCGACTCCCTTTCCTTGTATAAATACAGCACCAAGAGCTTCCTTTTTCCTCTGCCTATGACTGACTGCCTCTCTATATATAATTTTTAGAAAATGTGCCTTCTGTTTATGTACGGTGTCTTGAGGTGCTGTCGCATTTAGATGTTATACGAAACCACTTTGTATTGTAACCTTTGATAAATAACAAGTAAAATTGGACGAGAGGCTACATGGATGAAATCAAGTTTGTGTATAACATGTACAATGTTGCCACCTGTTCGGGAATTGACGTGTGTGCTCGGGTGGCAGGAATTTATTGTTACCTAGACCTGGTACCAGGATTGAGTTGACATTTATTCCAGAACACTGCACAGTTTCGTTAGACCTCGGCCAGGGGTCGGCAACCAAAATAACAAGAAGAGCCTTTTTTAATTCAATGCAAAACTCTATATTTCAAGAGCTGCCATGCATGTGAATACTGTACATACATACATTACGTCATGAAGCAGTCTGTAAAAAGCTGCATGTGGCTCCGAAGCCGCAGGTTGCTGACTCCTGACCAAGGCTGACTGAGAAATATTTCCTGGTGTAGTCTGTGGACAAGGTGGTAACCCTGAGACATACCATATGTAGAGCTGAGGAGGTAAATGTTGAGCTCGTCACTTTTTTCCGGCCAAACAACTTCAACCTTTTTCATCCAACTCCCTGTTTTCAGCAGCATGTAATCTCTGTTAAGGTCATATTGATGTATATGTAGCTTCCATAACTTGATATTACTGCGGGTATATTCATAATGAAATATGTGCGCTATGTTGCACTGACGTTAAAGATTTCTGACATTCAAAACGATTAGACCAGTTCTACTCGTTGACAAATTTTTAAAAAATACAAAAAAAATTACACAATTGGAATTACACACAGCAACCATTTCCCCCTACTGGCAACCTCACGCCCAATTGCAGGCCAGGTGCTAAATCTTCTTGTCTCCACAGGGACAGTTGTGACTGGGGGTGCCCATTTAAATGTGTTTGAGACGTGATGTAAGTCGCTTATTGTGCATACAGCGCTCATAGACACCCCAGAGTAAAAGGCCCTATAAAAAACAAGTGATTATTATTAATTTTGCAAGTAACAAGTGCATTTTAAATTTGAATATTATGTAGTGACTGTACTTGTCACTGTATGGTGCCAAGACTTGCGAAGTCACGGCCGGTGATGTTATTGCGGGCAGCCCGAGTTGCTGGCTGCAGTACTAACACTAGCGGTGGTTGGGTGAGCGCGGATTAGCGCGAAGCCACCGCGAGCAGCGTGCGGTGCCGGCTCCCAGTGAGGGAGCGAGAGCGTCAGCCAGCCAGGGTTACTCTGGGGCATGATACTCTGGCTGACCTGTTGTCACGTGACCGGATGATACTGGAGGGGGGGCACCGGTGGACGGGGGCTGAGGGGCGGTCACGTGGTCCCAGAGAGCTCTCGGGAACGTTCGAGAAGGGGCCCGAGGAGCCTGGAAGGTGGGCGGGGCTAAGGGCGGAGTGAGCCCCAGCCCGGGAGCATATAACGAGAGCTCCGTGAGGAGCTCGGGGTTCTTCGTGTGTTGGTGTTCGAAGATCCACGTCGGGGAGAAGAAGCCTCTAGCCACGCGGTCCAGGACTCAGCTTGTGGTCCGGACCGGGATAGCGAACCGTGTCTAGTTCTGCCGTAGCATGGCTCGATGGGCATTCGAGTCCAGAGCATAGGTTACGTTATATTGGTGCTGTTGTGTTATATTTAGTGTTGCTCCCAAATTAACGTCTGCGACTCAGTTGGACTCACTACAATTATATCAAATTTGTTTTTAGGAACAATATTGTTTACATATAGGAAGGAGGCGTAATGTCTGCTTATTTTGTTACATTTACTTCTATATGATGCTAATTATTATGTTCTATTTCTTTATATCGCTGTATGTTCAGGAGCTAAATGCCAATGTCGAAATCTGATAGCCACGAGCAAGCTTCAGGAGCGAGTTTGTGTAGTTTTTCTACTGCTCCGTTGAAGGAGAGCAGACTACAGTGGTTTACCATATGGTCCATAGTTTGGGTGACATGGCCACTTATCGCACTGAAGGAGACATGCGCATTGGCCTGTTGATGTTGTGATGCGGTCGATGGTTCACCAGTGTCTTTGAGGAATGTCAAAGCAAGGAGGTGCGATGTTTGGGTCTGAAATTATCAGGCTAATGATTATTTTGTTCTATTCAACATAAAAACACGTGGCCTTGTCACAATTACTCCGATGTGGAATTTAAGCGCACGTGATGATTTTCCGATAGACGAGGTTGTTGTCGGCGTTGCCCAGTAGTAGCGTGCAGCAGTGGTTGTCCGGAGCTGTGCGGTGGGACTGCAGGTCCGCACAGTTCTTTAGTATCACTGTAATTATCACCTCAGCCACACCTTTGTAGTACTTGTTACCCTGAAAAACAAGCAACCAGCGCTATTCTGAATTAGATGATATGTAAAGATTACCAAGCCATTCAATTAAATTGAATATTACTAAGGTGAAGATAAAAGTTAATTATTCGATTCCTTAATTTAAAACCTAGTGAAAAAACATTTAACAAATGATAGCAAAATTCTAAAAGTCAACAGCCATTTGCCCCACTGTAATCACCATCGCTGTACCAAGATACTGCATTACAAGTGTAGTGACATCAAATGGGTCACTATGGCGCGTAGCGCTGATTACTGACAGAAAGTGGAATTGTGGGTGTAGTAGCTCTCTCTGCCAGCAGGGCATGCAATGTCCCAGAATGGGTCACTAGGGTGCATAGTGCTGGTTGCTGGCAGAGGGGGGCACCTGAGGACGTAGCAGCCCGGTCGGCTGGCAGGGCACGTGATAGGCCGGGGTAAGGGATGGAGGGCAAAGGTGACAGAGGGGACACGTGGGGTATAGCCCGGAGCCTTCTGGTAGGTTCCAGAAGGGGGCGAGGCCGAGAGCGGAGTCAGGCCACGCTGGGGGGCATAAAAGGGAGGTCCCGAGGCTGGATCGGGGCTGTCGTTTGGAATGGAACCCGCCGTGCTACGTCTTCGTCTCCTCGCATCGTGGGTTAGGCAGCGTGCCGGCTGTCCCGACCCGTTTATATCTATCCCGTGTGCGAGTAGTGTCTAAGAAGTGTAGAACACACGTACGTGCCTCCTCCTATTATTGTCTCCGAAGTGACTCACTACACAAGTACTCGTAGTTATTTATTTCTCAAACGAGCATTGAGGTGGTGACCATCTCCCATTTACAGCCCTGAGCCAGTGGTGGAAATAATGCATCTCTATATTATCCATAAGACAACCAGTTGACTTCCCCACAAATCGGTGCTTATTTTATCTACCACGGAGGGATGATGGAGTGAGTCAACTCCCAACTAGTACTTAAACTTGCAAACCTTCCGATGGCAGGTCGCTCACTCTACTGCTGACCCACGTGGATAGTTTCACAGGTATTATCAAAAACCTAATTGATGTTTTCCTTAGACTCATGCTGCTTCAAGTAAATTGAGCCACATGGATGAATGGTTTCACAGGTATTGGCAAAGTCCTAATTGACGTTTGCCTTTAAGCTCCTGCTACTTTGAGTACGTTGAAAGTAGTAACACACTGAAAGGGAAGCTGATTTGCACCCGAGCCATGTGACTGTGCGTTTGTTGTTTTTAGCAATGTGGAATCTTTGATTGGAGTCGGGGTTCGGTCTCATGCACCTGCTCCACTCTGACTTCGTACTTGGGCAGACGCTGCACAGCTTCTTTTATCTGGTTCCCAAATGGAGGGTGTCTGTTCACTATCTGCACAACGCAGGAATACACCAGCAAAACATAATTTGGTTTTGTTGAATTTACAAACAAGAAATACACTCATTATTGGCAGGTGTTACTATTATTAAGGAAGGGTGATGATTGTAATGAAGGCACTCCACTTCGGCCTATCGTTTCCACTATTAACTAACCTGCCTACAAACGGGCCCTCCCCCCTACCTCTTACCTATATAGCCTCTTGTTACAGCAGCTCTTTTGCCCACTTCAGCAATTGTTTCTTGCTGTGGTTGTCCCACCTGATGACGGATGCTTGTTGCGCCTAAAACGTCATGATTAAATTTATTTTATTTTTTATACCTACGTGACTTTACCGAAAGAACCAAAGAGTATGGATCCCTGCAGTCACGAAAACTTCAAATATAGTTTGAACCGCCTCTACGGGGAGGGTTTACACACATCTGTTAGAGCTTTAACAGACAGCGGGACAAGAAGGCGCAACTAATCGAGTCGCTGATCTTCAAGAGATGCCGCGATAACAAGGTAATACCTATCGCATTTACACTCACATCTGCTGCTGTCATTTCTCCTAACGCTAAACGGATCTTGTTCAAAGCCAGCCTATCACTAATCTCAGAGAGAATAAGATTGCTCCGATTTGAACTTGATAATTTAGACAAGACTCTTACAATCACACCTAATATTAACAGATAAAATGTCCACTTTTGATTGGGACCATGTAGATAACATGACAGTCTCCTCTGCTAATTCAATGTCAACCAAATTTAAAGTTAACTTGATCGCTAAATTCAACCTCCTGTGAAAAAAGAAGCCAGATCCACATGTTAAAAAGTTAGATGTTAACAAGATTGTCATCAGAGTAACATCCCAATCTCTGACAGCCTGAAATCGGTACTAGCTAAAGGGTTGAATTTCGCAGTCACCCCTAAACATATCCCAGTGGATGATATAATCTCCCAGGTCGACGTAGCCCTCAAAGGCTTGTGACACATCCTGACAGACGTTGCTAGATCTGAAATTGCCACCATCCTTAAAAATGCTAATAAATCCATTAGTAACCTCAGCAAAGACGAGCGGTCTGAACTCGCAAAATTAAAAAAGACAGATGACAGTCATCCTCTCAGCCGACAAAGGCAATGCTACTGTCATGGATAAAACCACATACAACAAAATCCAGGACCTTCTTAATGATGGCAGCTACACCAAAATCAACAAAGATCCTACTAACAGCCTGACTACAAAAACCAACAATATCATTACCAGTTCGACTTCTCTAATCGAACCAGTCAAACGGCTCTCCCTAAAACCTTCTGCTACTAATTTGGAGCTTTCGTGACTGCAGGAATTACACGTAGATATAAAAAAATAAAAAAAATTGAATTACGACGTTTCGGGTGCAACACAAGTGTCCGTCATCAGGTGGGACAACCACAGCAAGAAACAATTGCTGAAGTGGGCAAAAGAGCTGCTGTAACAAGAGGCTATATAGGTAAGAGGGGGGAGGGCCAGTTTGTAGGTAGGTGAATTGATAGTGGAAACGATAGGCCGAAGTGGAGTGCCTTCTTTATGGATCTTAGGAAGACCATATAATCTGGGTGGTCTAGTAGCAGAAGTTACTCTTTGGTTCTTTCGGTAAAGTCACATAGAAAGAGTTACAGTAGCTCTTTTGCTCACTTCAGCAATTGTTTCTTGCTGTGGTTGTCCCACCTGATGACGGACACTTGTGTTGCGCCCGAAACGTCGTGATTAAATTTATTTTATACCTACGTGACTTTACCGAAAGAACCAAAGAGTACGATTGTAATGTGTTTCCCAATTGAGTAATTTGCAAATTACTTTTTACATTTATCGTGACTGTGATTGTTACTGTATGGTGCCGGGCTTACGAAGCCACGGCGGATAATGTGCTGACATTATGTGTAGCCTACTTACGGGGCGTAGTACCAGTGCTAGCGAGTCTTGGGTGAGCGCTTGTCAATGCAAAGGCACCGTGAGCAGTGTGTGGTGCGGGCTCCCGGTGAAGGAGCGAGAGGGAGCGTCAGCCAGCCAGGGTTACGTTGGGGCATGATACGCTGGTTGACCTGCCGACACGTGACCGGATAATATTGGAGGGGGGCCAGCGGTGGACGAGGGCCGCTGGGTGGTCACGTGGTCAAAAAGAGCCTTCGAGAAATAGCTCGAGAGATCTGGAAGGTGGGCGGGGTGAAGGGCGGAGCCAGCCCAGAGGGATATAACGGGGGCCCCGTGAGGAGCTCGAGGTTCTTCGTGTGCTGGTGTGAAGAAGATCCACGTCGGGGAGAAGAAGCCTCTAGCCATGTGGTCCGGGAACCAGCTTGTGGTCCGGACAGGGATAGCGAACCGTGTCTAGTTCTGCCGTAGTGTGGTTAGATGGGCATTCAAGACCCGAATGTAGATTGTGTGATGTTGTGTTAAAGTTGCGTAATAAATAGTGTTGCTCCCAAGATAACGTCTGCGACTCAGTTGGACTCACTACACATTTTGCTAATTTGGACAATGACGCCGGCACACAATGGTCTTCTTTGAATGACATCAAGGGATCTTTAATGTTCACTTTGAAGAAGATGGTGTTTAGATTTTTATGGTGAATAAATCTGCAGTATTAATTAACCAGTGCGGTCTGCCAGCTTCGAACTGCGAGCTTTTGCAACAAGCGCTACCACTGGGCCAATGGCATTTATGGTATAGCTACCATATAATTGTATTGGGAAGTGTGCTTAACACCAGCACAAACATAGATACATTAACACTACACCCATTATCTCACCAACTCAATTTCCCGTCCATGAGTGTTTTCAATTTTCTCAAAAGATGTCAATCCAGCGTTGACCAGTGCGCTGGACATTGAGAAGCCTACAGCAGAAATACTGAGGTTAAGTAATGTTTCATTGAAGGGTCTTCTGAAAAAAATGCGTGGTTGTAAATAATTTGTATTTATTGCTTTTAATCGTAAAAGGGACCATATTTACCGATTTTTTCAAGTTGTTTAAAAACGGAAGGTGAATTTTCCCAAAGCTTTGCACGAAAACATTTAGCGAGGTGGACTGCATTCACCACGGCCTGGAAATTATTCTGCTTATCCTTTTGCTGCAAAAATTCGGCAAGACCTACAAACACAAAATGGAGAAATAACATATATAAATACTGTTATGCGTTTAAAAGTTAGCTTCAGAAACAATGTAAATTTGTTTAAATAGTGCAGTTTAAACTTACATTTTGTAAGTCGGATTCCAGTCCTGAAGATTTTGGCAGTGTCCTGTATCAATGCAAAATCTTGCACGAGTACACATCCCAGCTGAGCTTGAATGAGACTACAAACAACGCGTAATTTTAATTGTGTAGCAAAACATAATTCTCCACTCGAACAAACTTTTTTTTGCAATATAGATGCAGTTTAAAGTGTTAAAATGAGTGTCAATACATTTTGAAGGCTCTCCAATTAAAATGTGTGATCTGTATGGTGATTTCAAATGGATAATAATCTGCAAATGTGTAGAACATTAAAACCCTAAACACAAAGTTGTGTTGCTAACTATAAAGAAAGATAATAACCAACTCCAAATATACGTATGTGTTATCTTAACAGGAATATTGAATTCATAGCTGTACTGACCAGTTTACTTTCATTTCAATGGTCTTTATTTTACCGGACATTGGATATCTGAAAGGATATAAGCATTCAGATTAACTTATAATGGCTTATCCAAATAATAACTAATACACACTGAATATATAATATACTCTTAAAATACGCTCATACAAACTTAAACCCCATTCGTTTATCCGTACAATATTTTGAAATACGTAATACTTGAACTACTATTTTCTCAAATATGTAAATGTTTTCTCATTTGATGTTTCACTATTTGAGAAACCTCTTAAATCAAATTATAATAAATGTTTTAGACCAATAAAACATTTGATATTAAACTTTAAAGATTATTCCAGTGTAGGTTCTGGATTTTTATTCCCAAAAATATGACATTAATACAGGGTCTTAAAAAAATACCTAACATTCTTCAACCTGGCCAAATACCATATAAATGTTTTTATTTATTGTAATGTAACTTTGCCAATATACAGTATGCATAATTGTATATTTACATGACAATTCATCTGTATTGGTTTAAACAAACGTGACTGCTGATGAGACACAGAATGTCAAAACCAGTCCAGAGTTTCGTTGTGTGAAACCAAGTCTGCTGAAATGCTAGGATGTGTAAAATATGTATTCTTTTATGTGGAGGGACAGATATGTGGAGGCATATTGTACGCTTATTTTTTTCCCATTCTTTACGATGCTAATGGTTATTTTGTGATGTGTGTCACTGATTGTTACCGTATTGTGTGATTTTTGGCCATGTTCAATGTGTTCAGGGTTTTCTTTTCATTAACGCGGAGTGCGATGTCTTTATACTCTCGACAGCTTGAGATAAGAGTCACCTGTAAAGAAGGTCAAAGATCAAGATGTCATCATGGCCAAAACCATTGATGCTACTACACAGAATTTATAAATGCATTCCACCCTCCGCCAGATCTCGCAGCTGCTGCACAATAGACACACAGTGAGCTACCAAATCTGCCCTGACACTATTGCACCATTTGCTCTTAGGTCAGCCATAAACGCACATCCATTATAGTAACAAATCAGTATTTAATAGCAATTACAAACCTCTAAAACATTTATAATACAAGGTGTCCTAAACCGAAAATGCGTTAAAGAGAGCAAAATGTATCAGTTCAGCTAATAGCTAATCACAAAAACACTATCTTGTAAAATATATGCGGGAGTTATGACCTGGTGGCTCAACAGTGTGAGTGGCTCGCAGACAGTAGGTTCCAAGTTCAAATGCTGGTTGTGAGTTGACTCAACCCACCTTCCCTCCGAGTTTGATAACATGAGTACCACTCTGTTAGTAAGTTAACAGTGGTTGTACTGCGGAGAGACCCCTGTAATAGGATTGTGGATTTTCCACGATAGTCTCAGGGCTGTAAACGGTAGATGGACAACCTCAGTGCTCATTTGAGCAGGAAATCACTTTTACTTGGCTCTGAATGCTGCTGTACAATGCATTGATTATGCCTTAAAATGTACGTGTTAGTTGAACCTTATGCCAGAAGCACACCTATTGATAGAATTGTCAGCAACGATTTATGCAGTACTAAACAAAAAGTCTGTCTTTTTAAGTAAAAATAAAATAAGAAGGTATCCTTGCTCCAATAAGGTGTACTGTATAGATACAATGATGATGATGACCGCCAAACATGCCAAAACTGCTAAATTATCTGCACAATTGTTTTTCTGCTTATGAATTTGTTTATACAAAATAATAGTTTACGGCCGTTTGTCAAATCCGCTGCTGTAAGTCATTGTGTTTGTTTGATACGTGTCAGATACATATATCCTTGTCTGTTAACATAATTACAGTCACTACTTGTAATGCGTTGTCATGAACCCTTTCAGGGAGCTCTCCCTCTGCTAAGTAAGGGACATTGCGCAGTAAGCCTTGTTGACATAAGTTTATGGTGATATGGAAGAATGAGAAACCAAGCCTGTGACCTTACTTACCAGGTCTTGCATGGCTTCAGAGCCCTGTAATGTGCCAAACAGCTTTATGGTATCAAATGCGATGTAGTAGGAAGCCATCAATCTGCCAACATCTGTACAATATAAAACCATTTTTGTTAAAATAGCAACACATATTAAAAAACTTAAATTAAATGCCAGGGTGTTGGTGACTATACTGCATGCCTGTAATACAGGGTTGGTGGATCAAACACAAATTGGTAAAACTCTCTTCCCAAGGTGGCCAATATCGCCATATACTTGGCTTGCCAGGGTGTGGCAGTACAGCAAATTCATGTATCCATATGCACGGATATTGAGTTATTACCCCTTGCACACGTGGGGGTTTTCCATGTGTAGTGGGTTGAATAACTAGAAGAAGGCTTCTCTGAGGCAACACAGTTTTTATTTAACAATTAGCACTTAACCCAGAGAGGTAACGGCCCCTCACACCCGATACACGATGGAGGTTACTCTCCAGACTGCTACGCCTCTCACTGGCTAATCTACAAGTCCTCCGTGAGTTAAGCTTGAATCTTCACTGGTATATAAGCTGGAGCCGACCCTTGCCAGGGGTACGGCTCTGCCCTCGGGCTCTTCAGTCTTCACTGGTATAGCTTCGAGCCGACCCTTGCCAGGGGTACAGCTCTGCCCTTGGGGCTCTTCAGTCTTTAGGAGGCTTCTTGTCTTCAGCTGGACGACGACTGCCGGGACCGTCCAGAGGTCCGGCTTTTATACAGAGCCGTGGCTCGCTCCGCCCCGGCCACACCTTCCTTCTCGAACCTTCGAGAAGGATCTGGGGATGATGTCATCCCCAGCCCCACTCCTGGGGTCTGGGGTCTGCCCCTTTTACATACTGTTCCATAGGGTAACCGTTGGACCCGATGGCGCACAGACTGTCAGCACTGGGGCTCAGCCCCTCTATTGCCTAATTCTAGATTTGAAGCTTTCGTGACTGCAAGGATTCATACTCTTAGTTCTTTTGGTAAAGTCACGTAGGTAAAAAATGAAATTAAAATTAATAAAAATAAAAAATCATGACGTTTCGGAGGCAACACAAGCTTCCATCTTCAGGTGAAACTGTCACAGCAAAATATCTGTATCAAGTGAAGAGAAGTCCCAAGAGGTACGACCTTATATAGTGGTTAAGGGGGGAGGAGACAGGAAGGGCCGTGGGGGAGGAGGAGTTGTGAAGTGGTCAAGTACTGCTTTTCGTTATGCTGCTGGGTGGGTAAATTAATTAAATACGATTAAGCCGCATTTTGTTATACTGCTGGAGAATGCTGTTAAACGCTGGGGATGTTAACACTCGGTAGAGTAAAATAGTGCCTATCAGATAAAATGGTCCAAAAATGTGTAGTTAAATCTTTTTTGCATAGTTGATAACATCTTTCCAATGATTACTAAGTTTGTACCCATCATCACGGTTGAAAATATACAAACAAAATATACAAACACAGACATAATTTCAACCGTGATGATGGGTACAAACTTAGTAATCATTGGAAAGATATTATCAACCATGCAAAAAAGATTTAACTACACATTTTTGGACCATTTTATCCGACAGGCACTATTTTACTCTACCGAGTGTTAACATCCCCAGCGTTTAACAGCATTCTCCAGCAGCATAACAAAATGCGGCTTAATCGTATTTAATTTATTTACCCACCTAGCAGCATAACGAAAAGCAGTACTTGACCACTTCACAACTCCTCCTCCCCCGCGGCCCTTCCTGGCTCCTCCCCCCTTAACCACTATATAGGGTCCTACCTCTTGGGACTTCTCTTCACTTGATACAGATATTTTGCTGTGACAGTTTCACCTGAAGACGGAAGCTTGTGTTGCCTCCGAAACGTCGTGATTGTATTGTTTTTATTTTTATTAATTTTTATTTCATTTTTTACCTACGTGACTTTACCGAAAGAACTAAGAGTATGAACCCTAAATTTCGATTTAAAGATTTCGTGACTGCAGGGATTCATCTTCTTGGTTCTTTCGGTAAAGTCACGTAGAAGGGAAGTAATAAAATATTAAAAATAAAACATAATAAAAAAATTCTCACGACGTTTCGGTCACAACGCAAGTAGCCGTCCTCAGGTAAAACCAGGTCTGTCGAGGCGACAGCGTCTGAATGAAACAGCACACGTGCTTGGAGCATATATATAAGCTGGGTTGGAAGTGGGGGGGGAAAGGGGGCGCCTTGACAAAATAATTTGCATATCAAGAGGAATCCAGCATACCCATGGGAAATGCAGGTATGCGATTAGTACTACTTGTAAGTGCATTAGCAGCATCCAAGGAGGGGATATGGGAAATGCAGATATGTGATTAGTGCTACTTTAATCACATATCTGCATTTCCCATAACCCCTCCCTTGGATGCTGCTAATCCTGCATAATGCACTTACACAAGTAGTACTAATCGCATACCTGCATTTCCCATGGGTATGCTGGATTCCTCTTGATATGCAAATTCTTTTGTCAAGGCGCCCCCTTTCCCCCCCCCCCTTCAAACCCAGCTTATATATATGCTCCAAGCACGTGTGCTGTTTCATTCAGACGCTGTCGCCTCGACAGACCTGGTTTCACCTGAGGACGGCGACTTGCGTTGTGGCCGAAACGTCGTGAGAATTATTTTATTATGTTTTATTTTTATTATTTTATTACTTCCCTTCTTACGTGACTTTACCGAAAGAACCAAGAAGAGTATGAACCCTCTGTTGCCCCCTATTGGCATGAGGCCGGTATTGCCGGCTACCGCATGGGAACGGCGCATCTTGGCCCAATAACACCGTGGCACATGCACAGACACTCATTAATGAAATTGGCGAAACATCCCAATATAGCAGCACAGGGCTCGAGCAATTGTTGGCGCAGGTGTAACGGGTTCCGGAGACACTTGTAGAGGTAACTTCTTTATTACAATCCAACACTCCAACAGTCCAACACTCCAACACTCCAACTCTCCAACACTCCTGATACTCTGTTACAGCCTAGGTACACAGCCTAGGTACACAGCCTAGATACTCTACTCTGGCTACGCTCTGAAACTCGCCCTCACAAGGTCGTAGAGTCGGGAGTTCCAGAGTCCCACCACTGGCTCTCACAACATCCCAGGGTCCTCAGATGGCTGGTCTTGTGTCTTGGGTCTTGAGCTACGACTGGCCCTGATCATCCAGGGAGCTCCCCTTTTATGCCTAGTCCCCAACGAGGGGTGGGGCCGTGTGCGCCCCCAGATATCCCACAGAGCACACACAGCCCCCCCCCCCCCCCCCCGTTGGTGACGCCAAGCGGCTTAAGCGCCTGGGCCACCCGGGAACCCAACACCTGGCGTCAAGAGGCTTAAGCGTCTGACCCGCCTGGGTACCCAGCACCTGGCGCCAAGAGACTTAAGCGCCTGGCCCGCCCAGGTTCCCAGAGCCCCCAGCAGCCCCTCCCTTCTTATGTCACTACATTACCCCCCTCTACGTAGCCTCCAGCCGTCCCGGCTGTCAATAATTAGAAAGTTTAAATTAACGAAAGGGAGAGAGAGAAAAAAAATACGCGAGCCTCAACAGGAAAAGAAAAGAGAACAAGAAAGCAACCATAAATACCATAACCAACCTGTACAACTTTACACTATATACAAGCATCAATTAACAAAAAGGTGAAGCAATAACACGTGAACAAACGACCCGCGGCACACCTAGCCCTCCTCGGGATCGGCATAGAAAACGGAGAATTAACAACAACAAATATACAGATTCCGACGCGTTGGATGCGCAACCACCGCATGGATGGCAGGGTTCCACACCACCCTGCCAGCCTCCCATCCGTCAGGTGGAGAGAAGGCGAAGACCAACATGTCGAGCATCCCTCTACACACACTAATCCGGACGTCTGTCTACGTCCCGGGTCGAGAAGTCGTACTTCAGGGCCGACCCATGTACTGGGCAAAGAAGTCACACTTCAGAGCTGCTCCAGTATCTACAGTTTAAAATATATATATATAAAATTGACCTGACACAAACAAAATAAATCTGCCTGCTCCTGTCCATAAATGGTGGCCGCACGCGCGAACCGTATCTCCAAGGCATCCCGTGCTTGCGTCCCAGCAGCCCTCAATGAGGACCACCACCGACATTACATGTCAACCGTTAGCACCCCCCGCCTTTCCAACGTGGCGTCTCCATCTTAAAACCGCGCACGTCGGCCATATCGGGGGGGAATTTCCGTGTTACTACCCCACCGCCTTTTCGACGCGGCGTCACAACCAGTAGCACGCGTCGGCCATATCGGGGGAACTTCAACCCAGTCTCTCTCCAAGACTCGCATCGCAGCATATAGCTGTACCTACCGAGCTGAGACGACCCAGTCTCTCTCCAAGACTCGCATCGCAGCATATAGCTGTACCGACCGAGCTGAGACCCAGTCTCTCTCCAAGACTCGCATCGCAGCATATAGCTGTACCGACCGAGCTGAGACCCAGTCTCTCTCCAAGACTCGCATCGCAGCATATAGCTGTACCGACCGAGCTGAGACCAAGTCTCTCTCCAAGACTCGCATCGCAGCATATAGCTGTACCGACCGAGCTGAGACGACCCATCGTTCACTCCCTGCACAACATGCCCCCTAACAACTGAGGGATACAGTCCCAACATAACGGGACAACTACACCTGAACACCACGAATCTCCAGCCCACTGTTTCAACGCGCCTCGGAGTGTTTCAATCTCCAGGCCGTCAGGGCGAGCCTACTGCTCCAGACGCACCACGGAGGGTCTCAACCTCCGGGCCGTCAGGTCAAGTCGTCAGCGATTCCATGACGGGACCACACTCTCCGAGCCATGTGAGCGCACAGCCCACTAGGCTAGACATGCCACGGAGTGTTTCAATCTCCGGGCTGTCAGGTCAAGCCATCAGCCGTAGCATGACGGGACCACAACTCTCGTGTTAGACACGCAATACCCACTGGGCCATCCTGGTCAGGATCTGCACCCCAAGATATTTGAGAGCCAGCACGACAATTCCAAATCTTTGGCAGCATGTCACCATCTCAAGATAAATGCCCCATACAGTCTATACATCGTTAACAATGACAGCACAAGCTATACATTAACAATCATGAACAAAGCTCAATACAAACCATACATTGTTAACAATCACAAGCAAAGTTTCGCACACACATTGACAACACTCACGAGCGAAGCTTCACACAGTTTACCCAACAACAATCACGACTCCCCGACGACAACGAAGAAAATGTCAACAAAAATCATTAATCCGGAGCGCGTAAATGGACAAAGTGTCAGGGGCCTGGTCTCCCGACCTCCAACCTTTGGCCAGAGCAAAGGCGGCGACCAGCGTGTCGGTCGATGTGCCGGCCCCGGCGCCGGTTACAGTAAGAATGGCGCCCTCACTGTCCGGTCGCAGCGCTGATGACGCGCTATGCTAGGTTGAAGCCAGCTGTCGTCCGGCGGTAAAGGTCGCAGCGCTGATGACGCGGCGTTGTTTGGTTGGACCACGCTGGGCCTGGAAGTGACGTAGCTCCCAGCGGTCATTGCTCCTCCGGTGGAAGTGATGTCATTCCCGGAAGTATCCCCCACATCCGCGGCAGGAATGCCGGTGGCGTCCACCATGCCCGTAGCGGCGGCGGCGGGCTCGGGCGAGCGCTGCGCTTCCTCTCTCCCTCCCGCCATCGCCTGTGAGCGCCGCATCTCGCCCAGGAGGGAGGCGGTGGCGCAGAGCAGCTCTGCGAGGCGAAGCAGCGCCTCCTCCATCCCTGCTCCCGACGTTGGAGAGGGGACGGTCGGCGGAGCAGACAGCTGCTCAGCCGGCGGTGCAGCGTCGCTGTCGGCCAGCGGTGCAGCGTTGTTGTCGGCCGGCGTTTGCCGCCCCATCGCTGCCTGCTCCTCGACATCGCCGTCAGGACTGAAGGTACATGGCTTACTTCTTGTCTCCATAGCCACTTCTGACGCCAAATGTAACGGGTTCCAGAGACACTTGTAGAGGTAACTTTTTTATTACAATCCAACACTCCAACAGTCCAACAGTCCAACACTCCAACTCTCCAACTCTCCAACACTCCTGAAACTCTGTTACAGCCTAGGTACACAGCCTAGGTACACAGCCTAGATACTCTACTCTGGCTACGCTCTGGAACTCGCCCTCACAAGGTCGTAGAGTCGGGAGTTCCAGAGTCCCACCACTGGCTCTCACAACATCCCAGGGTCCTCAGATGGCTGGTCTTGTGTCTTGGGTCTTGAGCTACGACTGGCCCTGATCATCCAGGGAGCTCCCCTTTTATGCCTAGTCCCCAACGAGGGGTGGGGCCGTGTGCGCCCCCAGATATCCCACAGAGCACACACAGCCCCCCCCCCCCCCCGTTGGTGGCGCCAAGCGGCTTAAGCGCCTGGGCCACCCGGGAACCCAACGCCTGGCGCCAAGAGGCTTAAGCGTCTGACCCGCCTGAAAACCCAGCGCCTGGCGCCAATAGGCTTAAGCGCCTGGCCCGCCCAGGGTCCCAGAGCCCCCAGCAGCCCCTCCCTTCTTATGTCACTACACAGGTTCTCACTGCCTTCCCTGCTTGTCTGTGGTTTTACCCCTGTGGCTCCGTTAGGAAACAGTGCATGTTACAAATTCTACAGCACGTTTTGAGATGCAATTTGCGTTAATCACTGGACGCTATATACAAATAAAATGTGAGATTACATTATGTTTTTTCATCACAAATAAAGCACACAAACACGTAATAATATGCTGTTTAAGCGGAAGGATTATTTACCTGTTGGCTTAATATCTCCATTCTGCATACAAATTAGCTTGAAAGTTGCCAGTGAGTTCAAACTCTCTAAACATAGTTCTGAAATAAATAATGCAAAATAAACATTAACATCGTTGTGGACAATACAACAAACTAAGCAGGTAATATGCCTTCTTCTCATTTGTCTCTCCACTAAAATCTAAAATATGCTTTACACATTCATAGCTAACAGAGGAGATCCTTGCCTCTTAACGTCGAGCAGGTCACTTGTATTGGTTCAAACAAGCCTGACTGCTTATACATTGAATGTCGAGACCGGTCCAGATTTTTGCTTGCGTTGAAACCAACGCTGCTGAAAATATTCACTCCCAGAAGGCCGTGTGGCTGATTGGATATGTTATAAACAATGATTGTATTTTACGGGGAGAGACAGATATGGGAAGAAGGCATGTTGTCAGTTGAATTATTTTAACATAACGATCGTTAAACAAATACAATTAAAGAAAAAGCAATTTGTCTCAATTTTAATCATTGAAAATTATGCTGTATGTAATTGAAAAATAAGGAACAATTTGAATTGACCAAGTGGCTGTTTCGGAGGCTGCGGATATGGGTTTTCTTCTCAGTTTTTTTTCTTCTAACAAGTAGATAGGTTTCTTGAATTGAGCAAGGTTGTAAGAGTTTGGAAAATGAGACCATCGGAGGGAATTCACAAGTACTGTAAAGCATCAGTACCAGGGGAAGCACAGTAACATACGAATAACACAAGCATACAATTATATTTCCCTTAGTTTCAAATTGTCTACTATTATTCCAGCAAAATTACAGTTTGATGTGAAATTGTGTTAATATCACTCTACCTTGCAGAAGTTTCTTCTCAATGTCCTCTTTGCTCAGACCAGCGGGAAATTCTGTATCAATGATTCATACAGAGTACATTTATTTTTCAGTATGCTGCCTTTTTATGCATCGCTTGAGATGTACTTAAGACGGCTTTAACAGTTTAATATCTTGTCATAGTCAAAAGTCAAAACTATTGAAACACTTTATGTCAACGAACAAAATATAAATTTTCAGAATGTTTAACATTACTCCTTGCAAATATACTGTCATTATGTCCTTTGTACTTAATAACATTAAAACATGTTATTTCCTCCAGTCAGCTCATAATATTTTTGAAAGCACCCAACATTGTGAAATGTAATTACAGCGAAGATTACTGTTTTATATTCCAATAGCTGATCTATGCAAAGGCATAATGGCTCAAAATACCCAAAGATGGTTTCACACAATGTTTTAGTGTCCATATATAAGCAGGAAATACTACCTCCTTCACATATCTGTCTCGCCACATAAAAATTCAGTATTTTTTTTTACTCATAACGTTATTGCCAGTGCATAATTTTTATAATAATCATTCTAATTTATCATGCGCATTCCATCCTCGGATCAAAACTGTGGACCGGTTTTGCAATTCAGTGCCAAGTCAGGATTGTATGAAGCAATGCCAGATGTTTACAAGCAAGGGCCCTCTCTGTTAGATATGGATCTTCGTTCAACACAAAACTATATAATATACATCACATTATTTTGTGTTTCATTCGAATAAGTGTCATTCACTCAAATACATTTTGAAAATAGGATAGATACACATCTATATACATCCTTCCAAAATACCTATACTACTCAAAAACACATTTAAAATGTATGTTCTTGAATAATTTTCTTAAATAAATGCACAAATAGGTAACTAAACCTTTTCCAATACATGTTTATTGTTATTCCTTTCCTATGCATAATTTGAACCTGGTGATTATACTATCGTAGACTATAGCTATTTAAGAGGCAACACTATTTTTTATCTGTCACGCGAACATTGTATGTTTTGATTTTTAATTGTAAATGCATTTCTTACTGTAATGCTTTGGGTTTTTGAGTGCCCGAATGTACAGGAATGTGGATCGGATCCAATCCAATGCCACGTTGACATCTGTGATCGTGTGCAGTACAATCTCCGCATTGAGGTGCTCTGTTAAATTCATGTGCAAACTGCAAGAGACCGAAGGTGTTCACAAATTAACGGTAGCTACTTCATAGCAATGGGAAAATGAAGTTGCACAGAGGAAGCTTATTAATGGAAATTCACAAAAAGTATAAAAAACACATAATTCTGAACTATCTTAAAATTAATTGAGAAAGTTTTCATTACAGCGTGAAAATTGGAAAGATCTTGAACAAGATAGTATAATACAAAATAAGTGTTTATTTTGATATAGTACTTTTCACTATGAGATCTCTTTTACCAGTGGCAAAATATAATAGTAGGTTTTTACCCTTTTAACTGGTACAAAACTGACACCTTTATTCAAGGCATCATGTTTGCAATGACCACAACACAAGTAGTCAAAAAAGCAAACAAAAAGAAGCAACTCTGATAAGGATGATAATATGCACTGTCCTTGAAGTTGATTGGCCCACACCCGAGACGGCTTTCTTTAGAGCCTAGTCCCCATTGGTGTAGGGCCAGATGACACCAGAAGGCGTACAACTCAAAGGGTAAAAACCTACTATTATATTTTGCCACTGGTAAAAGAGATCTCATAGTGTAAATGCTTACCCCGAGCTCTCAATACTCTGATATTGCACTGTGTTTGAGTTGTACGCCTTCTGGTGTCATCTGGCCCTACACCAATGGGGACTAGGCTCTAAAGAAAGCCGTCTCGGGTGTGGGCCAATCAACTTCAAGGACAGTGCATATTATCATCCTTATCAGAGTTGCTTCTTTTTGTTTGCTTTTTTGACTACTTGTGTTGTGGTCATTGCAAACATGATGCCTTGAATAAAGGTGTCAGTTTTGTACCAGTTAAAAGGGTAAAAACCTACTATTATATTTTGCCACTGGTAAAAGAGATCTCATAGTGTAAATGCTTACCCCGAGCTCTCAATACTCTGATATTGCACTGTGTTTGAGTTGTACGCCTTCTGGTGTCATCTGGCCCTACACCAATGGGGACTAGGCTCTAAAGAAAGCCGTCTCGGGTGTGGGCCAATCAACTTCAAGGACAATGCATATTATCATCCTTATCAGAGTTGCTTCTTTTTGTTTGCTTTTTTGACTACTTGTGTTGTGGTCATTGCAAACATGATGCCTTGAATAAAGGTGTCAGTTTTGTACCAGTTAAAAGGGTAAAAACCTACTATTATATTTTGCCACTGGTAAAAGAGATCTCATAGTGTAAATGCTTACCCCGAGCTCTCAATACTCTGATATTGCACTGTGTTTGAGTTGTACGCCTTCTGGTGTCATCTGGCCCTACACCAATGGGGACTAGGCTCTAAAGAAAGCCGTCTCGGGTGTGGGCCAATCAACTTCAAGGACAGTGCATATTATCATCCTTATCAGAGTTGCTTCTTTTTGTTTGCTTTTTTGACTACTTGTGTTGTGGTCATTGCAAACATGATGCCTTGAATAAAGGTGTCAGTTTTGTACCAGTTAAAAGGGTAAAAACCTACTATTATATTTTGCCACTGGTAAAAGAGATCTCATAGTGTAAATGCTTACCCCGAGCTCTCAATACTCTGATATTGCACTGTGTTTGAGTTGTACGCCTTCTGGTGTCATCTGGCCTTACACCAATGGGGACTAGGCTCTAAAGAAAGCCGTCTCGGGTGTGGGCCAATCAACTTCAAGGACAGTGCATATTATCATCCTTATCAGAGTTGCTTCTTTTTGTTTGCTTTTTTGACTACTTGTGTTGTGGTCATTGCAAACATGATGCCTTGAATAAAGGTGTCAGTTTTGTACCAGTTAAAAGGGTAAAAACCTACTATTATATTTTGCCACTGGTAAAAGAGATCTCATAGTGTAAATGCTTACCCCGAGCTCTCAATACTCTGATATTGCACTGTGTTTGAGTTGTACGCCTTCTGGTGTCATCTGGCCCTACACCAATGGGGACTAGGCTCTAAAGAAAGCCGTCTCGGGTGTGGGCCAATCAACTTCAAGGACAGTGCATATTATCATCCTTATCAGAGTTGCTTCTTTTTGTTTGCTTTTTTGACTACTTGTGTTGTGGTCATTGCAAACATGATGCCTTGAATAAAGGTGTCAGTTTTGTACCAGTTAAAAGGGTAAAAACCTACTATTATATTTTGCCACTGGTAAAAGAGATCTCATAGTGTAAATGCTTACCCCGAGCTCTCAATACTCTGATATTGCACTGTGTTTGAGTTGTACGCCTTCTGGTGTCATCTGGCCCTACACCAATGGGGACTAGGCTCTAAAGAAAGCCGTCTCGGGTGTGGGCCAATCAACTTCAAGGACAGTGCATATTATCATCCTTATCAGAGTTGCTTCTTTTTGTTTGCTTTTTTGACTACTTGTGTTGTGGTCATTGCAAACATGATGCCTTGAATAAAGGTGTCAGTTTTGTACCAGTTAAAAGGGTAAAAACCTACTATTATATTTTGCCACTGGTAAAAGAGATCTCATAGTGTAAATGCTTACCCCGAGCTCTCAATACTCTGATATTGCACTGTGTTTGAGTTGTACGCCTTCTGGTGTCATCTGGCCCTACACCAATGGGGACTAGGCTCTAAAGAAAGCCGTCTCGGGTGTGGGCCAATCAACTTCAAGGACAGTGCATATTATCATCCTTATCAGAGTTGCTTCTTTTTGTTTGCTTTTTTGACTACTTGTGTTGTGGTCATTGCAAACATGATGCCTTGAATAAAGGTGTCAGTTTTGTACCAGTTAAAAGGGTAAAAACCTACTATTATATTTTGCCACTGGTTAAAGAGATCTCATAGTGTAAATGCTTACCCCGAGCTCTCAATACTCTGATATTGCACTGTGTTTGAGTTGTACGCCTTCTGGTGTCATCTGGCCCTACACCAATGGGGACTAGGCTCTAAAGAAAGCCGTCTCGGGTGTGGGCCAATCAACTTCAAGGACAGTGCATATTATCATCCTTATCAGAGTTGCTTCTTTTTGTTTGCTTTTTTGACTACTTGTGTTGTGGTCATTGCAAACATGATGCCTTGAATAAAGGTGTCAGTTTTGTACCAGTTAAAAGGGTAAAAACCTACTATTATATTTTGCCACTGGTAAAAGAGATCTCATAGTGTAAATGCTTACCCCGAGCTCTCAATACTCTGATATTGCACTGTGTTTGAGTTGTACGCCTGCTGGTGTCATCTGGCCCTACACCAATGGGGACTAGGCTCTAAAGAAAGCCGTCTCGGGTGTGGGCCAATCAACTTCAAGGACAGTGCATATTATCATCCTTATCAGAGTTGCTTCTTTTTGTTTGCTTTTTTGACTACTTGTGTTGTGGTCATTGCAAACATGATGCCTTGAATAAAGGTGTCAGTTTTGTACCAGTTAAAAGGGTAAAAACCTACTATTATATTTTGCCACTGGTAAAAGAGATCTCATAGTGTAAATGCTTACCCCGAGCTCTCAATACTCTGATATTGCACTGTGTTTGAGTTGTACGCCTTCTGGTGTCATCTGGCCCTACACCAATGGGGACTAGGCTCTAAAGAAAGCCGTCTCGGGTGTGGGCCAATCAACTTCAAGGACAGTGCATATTATCATCCTTATCAGAGTTGCTTCTTTTTGTTTGCTTTTTTGACTACTTGTGTTGTGGTCATTGCAAACATGATGCCTTGAATAAAGGTGTCAGTTTTGTACCAGTTAAAAGGGTAAAAACCTACTATTATATTTTGCCACTGGTAAAAGAGATCTCATAGTGTAAATGCTTACCCCGAGCTCTCAATACTCTGATATTGCACTGTGTTTGAGTTGTACGCCTTCTGGTGTCATCTGGCCCTACACCAATGGGGACTAGGCTCTAAAGAAAGCCGTCTCGGGTGTGGGCCAATCAACTTCAAGGACAGTGCATATTATCATCCTTATCAGAGTTGCTTCTTTTTGTTTGCTTTTTTGACTACTTGTGTTGTGGTCATTGCAAACATGATGCCTTGAATAAAGGTGTCAGTTTTGTACCAGTTAAAAGGGTAAAAACCTACTATTATAGTACTTTTCCTCAAAAGAACACAAAGTGCTGTTACATGTGTAGAGGTGATACGCGCTGGGATTAGAGATCGTATGCCAGCGCGTAATGATTGGCTGTGTAGGTGGTGACGTGCGCTGACGGTGGAGGATCAGGGGTCAACGCGGGGTCGTGGGTTACGGGGTACTGATTGGCTGTGGACGGGTGACGTGCTGAGAGGGAGTGATCGGGTGGCAGCGCGGTGTGATTGGTGGAGGAGTGTTAACACGCGCTGGGGAAAACGGATCGTAGAGAGAGTGCGTCGTGATTGGTTCATTAAGGAGCGATGCTCACGTTGAAGTACGCATCAGCTCCGCCTCTCGTGAGCAGGGGCTATAAAAGGGGATGCACACAGGCGTGAGGGCAGTGTGTAACCAGCGAAGAATGAAGACGGGGATGAAGACCTAGGGCCCTGCGGTACCTAGTCCCGCTGTCCTAACGGGACCGGGACTCTGTGTAACCCAGAGGCGAGTGTAGTGTGTGTAGCCAGAGGCGTAAGGTCTACACGAGCCGAATGCAGTGTATTGTGTAGCCAGGGACATAGGGTCTACACGAGTCGAGTGTATTGTGTAGCCAGGGACATAGGGTCTACACGAGTCGAGTGTATTGTGTAGCCAGGGACATAGGGTCTACACGAGTCGAGTGTATTGTGTAGCCAGAGGCGTAGGGTCTACACGAGTGAAGGGTATCGTGTGTAGCCAGAGGCCTAGAGTTTACACGAGAGTAGTGGAGTGTGAAGTCGGATGAAAGGAGACTACACGTTGTATTTTGATACGTAAAGATTTAATAAAAGTGTGTTCCCGTCAAGAAGTTCCTGCCGTCAATTCCCATACTTCAACTGGCGTCAGAAGTGAAACGGTCTTCCAAGCATGGATACAAGGAGGAACCGTCGGACCCACGGGATTGACCACGGGGACAACCTCGACGACGCGGGTCAACTGGCATCGGGGGGTGAGGAAGAGGAGTTGCCCACGGGGCAGGATCCGCCGACGG